CTCCCACCCCATATAGGTAACACTTTTAATATGCATCTTGTTTATATAGGTTTTTGCAATTGCATTTTTTTTTGCGTGCATGTATTTCTAGTTTCTATGAACAGTAGTGTCACATCAGTTTCTTTTTTCACTCAGCTATCGTTAAGGTCCGTGTTATAAGTTGTCTGTGGCTTGAAACTGCTCTGTGGCACTCCCTGGTGTCACACGCTACATTGTCCCTGCACACACGATGGGCGACATTACTCCCCACCACACTGGGTGGGCGTCCGTATACATGTCTCCTACGGACCTGGATGAGACTTTTCTTGGGAACACACATCCTAAAGCAGAATTTCGGAGTCGTGGGGCATGAACAAACTTCATTTGATGAGGAGTGGGAGGCGGCCGCGGCAGCCGTGCGTAGAAGCCTCTCCATCTCAACAGCACTTCCATTACTGATCTAACGGGTGCAAACTCATAGCTCATTATAACTTTGGTCTGTGTTTTCCCAATGACTGAGTTCGAGCACCTCTTTATTGGCTTGGTAGACTTTCGGGTCTGCTTCTATAAACTGCCTTGCGTTCCCTGGCCCATTTTTTTCTATTGGGGTTGTCTTTTTATTGGTGATTTATAGGAGATCCTTATGTATTCTTGACATTGAATCCTTTGTTGGTGTCAACCATTGCAAACACCTTCTCCCAGCTCCCACACCTACAGGTAGGCCCTCTGCCAGCCCCTAAAGTAAGCACAAGATAGGAGAGAAGACAGAGGGAGTAATGGAAGTAAAATAACATAGGTAAATTCTTGAGTTTAAAACTAATACATAAAATGCAAGATGAAAATTATAAAATAGGCTGGGCACGGTGGCTCACGCCTGTAATCCTAGCACTCTGGGAGGCCAAGGCAGGCGGATCGCTCAAGGTCAGGAGTTCGAGACCAGCCTGAGCAAGAGCGAGACCCTGTCTCTACTAAAAATGAAAAGAAATTAATTGGCCATCTAAAAATATACATAGAAAAAATTAGCCAGGCATGGTGGTCCATGCCTGTAGTCCCAGCTACTTGGGAGGCTGAGGCAGGATGATTGCCTGAGCCCAGGAGTTTGAGGTTGCTTTGAGCTAGGCTGACCCGATGGCACTCTAGCCCGGCCAACAGAGTGAGACTCTGTCTCAAAAAAAAAAAAAAAAAAAAGAAAGAAAGAAAGAAAATTACAAAATATATTTACAGAACCATGGCAAAACTAAATCAGATTTTTTTGTAGCTAAATGTACAAAATAAAAGTTAGAAACAAACAAGTAGAGTGTAAAAAAGACCAAGAAGTTAAAATAAATGTTAAGGGGGAAAAATTACTTTTGAAGAGCGTAAAGAAAATCGCATCTGTATTCTTTATAGACCTTCACAGTAAAAAGGGAATAAAGCAGAGGTCAGAAAGGCAGAGACTAAAGGGGCAGAGCATGCCCACGAGTAAAACCAAAACACCAAAGAATGGTTGAGAGAAAACATAGTGATAGCAGACACTAAGCAAACCTAAGACTGAACATAAAAACAGAATAAACCTAAACCAGGAGAAAAACCACCAAGAGAAAAAGGCTGAAATACACAAACTGAAGGGGGCCTGGGACATCCCCAGCAGAGGCCAGCAGCAGTGGCCAGGAGGCAGGAAGGAGCCTAGGTAACCTCTGGGTCACGCCTGGGTTCACACATCAGGCTGAGACCAGCGAAGGCCTGGCTAGGACCTTTGTATTCAGAGCCTCTGGCCAGGCCATGGCCACTGGACAAGGACTGAGAAGACACAGGCAGTAGCCGGTGCTGAGCCCCGGCCTGGCTGTGGAGGTTCTGGGGCATTAACCACTGCACCCCGCACACCCACACCCACGTGACCTCCCAGCCTTGCTTGCTGCCTACAGGAGAACCCACACGTGGGCGTGGAGGCCGCGTGTGCCAGAGTGCCCCGGGGAACGCTGTGCTGGGAATCTCTTTGGCCCTGCTTAAGCAGGCCAGGAGATAGCCTGCTCTAACAAGTTCAGTACCACCCAGAGCGCACAAGGTAACAGTTCCACGATCCACCAGAGGTGTCACCGTGTCATCCTTGCTTGCTAGAGGGAGCAATGACCAGGAGGGCTCAGGGACCGCAAGCCCTCCCCAGACCACCTGCCATGCTAACTAGCTAGTCACCCAGCATGATCAGCTGTTTGTCAAATGACCTGATTGCCTATTTGCAGTCCCAATGACTCAGAAAAAAAGCAGATGAATCTGATAAGAATTCCATCATCCTGTTCCGTCACAAGTTGGAAGGCTCAGGAAAAATCCAGATGAGTCACTGGAAAGTGGAAAATATCTGATCTTACCTTGAGGTGAAGAAGGGATGTGGGGGCTGAGAGCTGCCACCTCAAACCCTTCCAGTGAGGCGGAAAAACAAGCCCCCCAGCTGCTCCGAAGTTCGCCTGGGACTCAGCTGCCTGGCAGCTCAGACCCATCTCCCCAGAGCTGTGAGGCTGGCACCGATGCTGAGGCTGGCGCCGATGCTGCCACTGGCCCCCAGCACACTCAGCCCCCAGCCCAGGGGTGCCTGGACACAGGGGTTTCATCAACCCACTTTTGTTTTCGTTTCAAATTGGTTTTCAATTGGGTGACTGATGTAGGATTGTTGGCATTTTATTTTTCCAAGGAAAACATTTAAAAACTACCATCTAATATCACCATCATTTCCTAAAACATTTTAGCACCAAGAAAAGACTACAGGATGGTCTTTTATGCAAAGTTAAGCTTGGCCGGGCACACTGGCCAAGTAATCCCAGCACTTTGGAAAGCTAAGGCAGGAGGATTGCTTGAGCCCAGGAGTTCAAGACCAGCCTGGGCAACATGGCGAGACCTCAACTCTACAAAAAATAGAAAAAAATAGCGGGGCATGGTGGTGTGCAGCTATAGCCCCAGCTCCTTGGGAGGCTGAGGCAGGAGGATCACTCGAGCCTAGGAGTTCACAGTTACAATGAGCTACAATGATGTCACTGCATTCCAGCCCGGGCGATAGAGCAAGACCCTACCCCTTTTATATAGATATGTACACACATATATATGAAAAGTTTAAGCTTTACAAAATGCTCATTATTACACATTTTGCAGGAAAGTCACAAAAACCCACAACCTGCCTAGAGTCGAATCCCAAGTGTGCTGATCAGTGCTTTGGGGGCACAGGCAAGTGGGCTGGAGCCGGGGTCTAAGCACATGTGAGGGTACAACCAAGCTGTGCAAAAACAAATTTATCACGTTTCTCTCAAACCTAACGTCCCAACCTCCCATCTAGGGGTTCCCTTCCCCCTGGGCTGCACATGCTCCTATCTCCATCCCCAGTCCCCTGCACCTGTGGGTCCCCCCCCCCTTCATCAGAACCACGAGCCTTTTAAACTTACGGCTTCATAGATCTCACTGTCAGACATCTGGTCCAGGGCCCCAGGACAGGGTCTCATGGTCATCCAAATTCAGGCACCACGGCCTGTGCCCCCCACCCAACCCTCCATCTGGTCAGCAGCAGACGTCCTGGCTCAGGCTACGAAATGACAGCCCTTAGCTGTCAGCGCTGAGTCCTAGAAGGTGAAGCTGAAGGGCTGGGCTGGGATGCTGGGGATAACCAGGGACCGAATGGCAGGGCCTGGTCCACAAAGGTAGCAGGCTGTGCTGACACTGGGACAAAACAGTAGAGATAGGCACATGGAGCTGGGGGACTGAGCAACTCTGCAAGTTCGTGGCCAATGTGAAAAGCTCAGCAGTGAGGGGAGAGCCAGGGCAGCAGAACTCGAGAACAGGCTGTACTTTCACCAGGAAAGCGTCCTGTCATGGGGAAGCCTCTTTGGACACTGCCCTGGCCTCCAGCCACCCTGCTGGCCACTGCAATCTCCTGCCTTCCTCAGCATCTCATCTCAGCCTTGGTGCACTTATCCATCAAGCATCTCCACCGCCACCCCTGTGCCATGCATGTGGCCCAACGGCTCAATATTTGCTGACAGGACTGAGTGACCAGCAGGAGCTCTGACTGAACCAGGGGCTCCTAGTGATGGCAGTGTCCAACCCACAGGGAAACCTGCTATGGGAGAGAGCGGAGGGGTCTTTGCAAGCCACCAACACATCTCCGGGCCTCCAGGACACACCACCTCTCCCTGGGCACGTTTTCCAGCACAAATTCCCTCCACCCTCTCACCTCACTCCAGAGGGAAGACACAGCAACGCTGTAGAAAATATCTCTAATGATGCTTGAAGACCCGTGTGGAGCCTGAGGGGACTGATTCTGTAGCACTACTGGGGGACAAAAGTCTTGTGAGCTGCTAGCCAGGCAGGCTCTACTGTCATGGCTGAGGACTGGCAAGTGGGGTCCGGGACGCAAGACCTGCAAGAGACAAAGTCAAAAGCACCTGGGCTGGGACTACTCCCTGACAAAGCCATGTGGGTCTTCAGGTATGTACCAAGGGGCCCTCAGCCATGGTCATGGGGTTTTGCAGCTGCCTCTGACAATCCACAGCCATCTCCACGCCCCCGGGGGCTGGGACGGAACACAGGACAAACGTGGCAGGTCCGCGCTGGTGAGGGCTGTCCTCTGAGCGGTGGCAAGTGAAGATGGGCCTGACTCAGTCCGCTCCCCAAGACCACTGGCCCCCACCTTGGATCTCCAGCCCCAAACCTGGAGCTGCGGCTCCTGTACCTTTTCCTCTTCCACTATGACATGAGCTTACAAGGATCGGCCCCAGGTCTAAGGCAGGACTTTAAAAATAATGATTCTGACCTCTCTACAGAAAGGTCCCAACTCGAAACTGGCACGAATGAACACCTTGTTGGAACTTCCTGTAAAGCCTCATGCTTTACTCTGAAACAAGGTCTTGAGGGCACTCGATCAGATGATCTCGCTTTACGGGGCTTCCCGTGTCCATGTGACCCCAAATGTTGCCATAGCATCAGCTTCTTAGCTAATGTCAGGCCCTCACTTGGAACAATTAACTGAACCACCTTAAAATACAGACCACGAGAGCTATGTGTGTGGGAGGGAATACATTTACTTTAGGTATAAAGGTTTACTATTATTAACAAGTTATCACTATTATTTACATGTTTATAAAACAAATAAAAATGACATACATGTTTGGTGCCAAAAGTGGCATATCCAAACTAATATCAGTACAAAAATAAATTTTCAAGCTACGTGTTTTTAAAATAAATGTCATTGAAATCGTAAGGGGGGGGGGAATCTGTATCAGTCATGTGTGGAAATGCAGACATCATCACAGCAAAGCAGCCCTGGGCAACGCTAAAGCCAGTGCCTGCTGGCAGAGCCGCCCCCATGTGCTCTTGCAAGAATCCAAGCAAACAAAAAACAAATATACGGTAGTTATGATGTTCCTGAGCTACAGAAGTTTAGAGCGTCTAAACTGTTGTGAATTTCTGCTAAAGAGGAGCCCCTGTGGGCTGATAAACTTTCCACTAGTGCTCAGCCAGTGGCACCAGGATGTGGTATTGTACTCTGAGAGGAAGCTAAGCCCACTTGTGAAATAGAAATCCTTGACTAACACAGTGCACGAGTCCCCTGTGTCCATCACCAATCCCCTGCAAGTCTCCCGGCCGCAGATAAACAGGGACAAGGGCAGAGAACAAACAGAAGCTGCTTGCTTGTCTGGGAAGCCTAGTGCCCACCAGACACGCCCCTCGGTGACTGCAGCAGAGATCCCCAGCGTTTCTGAGGTCTCATTCCTTTGTAGACACGTGCTTGTTCACACTTGGCAGAGGACGTCACAGTGGCCCCGGCAAGGAAAGTAAACCCTCTGTCCATCAACTTTCCCCTCTTCAGTCCCCAGAAAGCTGGGCCAGGCCCGTGTGCCTGCTGGACGTGGCATGCGGGGTTAGTGAGCGTGCCGAGTGAGCCAACTCCCGCTCTGCCGGGTGCAGCGCGGCGGGATGCCTCCCATGCACAGAGTCCTCTGGGATCCCAGCAAGGAATGCAAATGCTGAGGACGGTGGGAAGAAAGGGGCTAACGAACGGGCTGCAGCCCACTTCAGAGCAGCTGCAGGTTCCACAGGAGCTGCTGCCAGCTCACCCTGCCTGGGGCAAGGGGCAGCAGCATGGAGAGGACACCAAGCAGCCCCTGAAGCCACAGCTGAGCTCTGCTCACTGGTCCTGGACCTTGGCCCTTTTGGCTTTCAGAGACAGGTGCTGTAAGAGAAGAGAAGACACCACAGTTGGGGTTGGGTAGACAAAGAAGCCAGACTCCAACATAATTCCCATATGAATGATCAAATCGAATCTTCCAGATGGTCCACACCGTCTCAGTAACTGCTGTGTCCCTCAGGAAATAGTCTAGAGGGGAAATGCCCAAGTTACCAATAAAGGAAATAGACTTCAGTAAGCCGACAACAACCCGGAGCCTAGCCCATGGCTGGACCTGGTTAGTAGGGCTCTGCAGAAGCTGTCAATAAAAGGTTCTCTTTTTTAGACACAGCTCTCCTCCTGGCCCAGCCCCCAAGGACAGCTCTGCAGCCAAACACCTGGGCTCAGAAGACTGGATTTAGGCTGGAGATGACCTCAAGTTCCCAAGAAGTTTCTGACAAGTACTCTCTCCTTAGGGACAAAGAAATCAATCAATATAGCAAGTATCTCAACATGCCAGGTCCCTGTGCTCAAGGATGGAGATAAAGACGTGGCCTCTGCCCTCATGTAGGGTAGAAGCTTGTGGGGAAGACAGACAGGAAAAGGATACCTCCAAGTGAAACACTCTTCTCCTCCCAGAAATGTCACTTTCTACTAGTATAAATAACATGCAGCATATCATAATCATAGGCATCAGTTAATAGGATTGAGGGCTAAAAATATTCTTTACATTCTAAAGTAAAGCCAAAAGTGATAGAAATCCTAAAATATGCATTTGAAGCAGAGTGTGTATACGTAAGTTTTTAATCAAGGACCTCTGCTCACCAACTGAGGCATACTTGATACCTCATCAATAATCATAAATAGATAACCAAGAGGTAGCTCGGGCATGCTGCCGTAACACGTGCTAAGATCCTCACAGGAGGAATCCCCATCCCCCTAACTGCTGCGTGCTGGTCTGCCCGTTTCTTAGTACACCCATGTGGCCTCACAACAGCAAGCCCCATCAGCCACAGAGAGAAGAGCAGGCCCTGAAAGAACGCAGGGTATGAAAGGAAGCATGGCACACCACCCACCAGCTATGACATGTGAGATGACAGGACCCAGGTCAGACTTTCTATCCACTCACATCTGAGAAAGGACCAGTACAGGTTCTTGCAAAGGCCAGGCTAACAGGGTTTTCCCCTAGATAACAAAGTTGTCTCTGAGAATAAGGGGAAAAAAATTTAAGGACTAGAAGGCAAATCTCTGAACAGGTCACCCTGTTCTTCCCCTGTCCAGCCGTGGGTCTTGCTGAATTTCCCTGAATTATCTCCTCTCTGCACGTCACCTAATGTGACCCCTACAGCTAATGTTAGACATCATAGCCTTAGCTTGGGAATGAGAGGTGACGCCATCGTGCCCATGGGGCCATTTTTGGTACTTGTTTCTGGGAAGAATGTTGAGTATAAACAAAGCTAACTCTGAACCATTTTAGGCCTCTTTATAGGGTGAGAACGACACTCTGAAAAACAATGATGATGGAAAGTCACCAAAGGTGCCAGGAACAGAGCCGAGGATGGTCTGTGGGCCGTGGATGGTTGCGAGGTGCTGCACTGTGTTCAACAAAAAAACGTCTACCGTAGATGGGCAGCTACCAGAGATCTGGAGAGTTCTTTAAGAAATCAATCTGTTTTGGACAAGTTAATAATAGAAGCGTCTTTGGACTATGTAGTCGAGAAGGGAACAAGTTTCTCTGGGGTTTTAAGACCCTCACTGTACAATGAGGTTATTGCACTAGGTGATTCCTAATGTCCCAGCCTCTCTAAAAATACTCTGATCACAGTGGAGGTGATAGGCTGAAAAACAGGCTTTTGGAGAGAATGTAGAAATTTGGGCTTGTCATTTTCTTCAAGCTTCTAAAACTATTTGCTCTTTCACTTTCTGGGTTTGACCTAAAGAAACTGTAATTTTGAGCCAGGAAGGGAAAATGACTCAGCTTCTAGGCTAATTCTGTTCCTCCAAGAGTCTAAATGAATCCAAGACAATTTCAGGTTTATCCCTAACTGCTTGCATCTTATTCCTTTAACAAGCACTTTTACAACTGTGCCATTCTCTCAACTTCCAGTTTGCATTTCTGATCACTTCTCTTGGATTCCTGAAGTCTGTTGCTTTCCACCTGAGAGATTTTGAAAGAAAAGATTTTCCTTCACCACAAGTTTTTTCTTATCCACCCAATACAGCAGAGACAATACACTTCATAATTTTATCAGTCCCTGCAACAGCTGATCAGGTTTCCAGCTGAAATGTCTGTATTGAGATGTGTGAAGAACTATAAAGGTTTGAAATGGTTTTTTTTTGATTGGATGAGAATTAAATTATAAGATAATTTTAAAAGGGCAATTTCCTTTGACGTTGCCAGGGAGGGGGGATGAGAAGACCCTTCCCTTTACAAAGTCACAAACTCAAGTGTCTCCAAGAGTTTAGTAAAGCAGGATGGTGGCACTGGAAAGTGTCACCAACAGCGAGCAGCTACTCTTTAGCCCTGCTGATTGCCACTAAGCAGGAACTCAGGTCCAGTGTCATTGGATTTAACATTTCTTTCAAGAGAAACCAGAAAGACACATTTAATGTGAAATCTCCCAATGTTTACATGTGGCAATCAATTCGAATTTTAAGTTTGAAAACACCGTGCAGTCCAGTTCTAGCCCTGATGTAAGTAATAGGTCTCAGAATTTCCCTTCTGCTATAAACAACAGCAAACTTGGACAAAAATATCTAAAGCAACTGTTTTCAGGCACTGAACAACAAGCAGCACAAGGCTGTAATCCTTGAAAAAACAGAAACCCACACATGGTGAGCTCCATATTCATCCCAGGTCTCTTCCTGTATCTCCAAGCCTTATTAGCACAGGGAAGTAAATCCTAAACAGAGAACAAAAGTATGTCCAGACAGAGGAAACAGAGATGAGAGTTGAGGGCTGCAGAGACAGCTGGAATCTGCAGGCAGGGCATAGAAAAGTAGCAGCTACAGAAATCTACACAGGGCTACCCTTAAGTCTTTGGCTGAATACTAAGATACACATACGCAGCCCAAGATTTGATAAGGGAGAGAATTCTAACAGAGAATAGTTACTGGAGAGGTGTAAGCTGAGAAGGAGACTCTGGAGGTTGGTACAGTGCTAGGGACACTGGAGCTCTGACCTGTCTGAGTGCAAAGACCTCCCTGAGTATCCTAGGCATTCAGCTGAGACATCACAAAGGCCATGTGTAATTTAAAAGAAAAAAAGAAAGCCATGTCTTAAGCATATGGCCACTCTAAACCTGCCCTATTAAAGATTAAAATCAAGGCTCAGCAGAATTAAACTGATGTGCCAGTAAATTAACTGACTACCAGGAAAAAAACACAACATTCTATAAGAAAAAAAAAAATCCAGACGTTCCACAACATAGCATCCGTAACATCCCGTATACAACAAAAAATTACTAGACAACAGAAGCAGGAAAATGTGACCCATAATGAAGAAGAAAAACAGTCCAAAAACAGAGCAGACCAGAAGCAACAGAGGTGTTGAATTAGTAGCTATTATAAAAATGTTCAAAGATTTAAAGAAAAAGATGGGTGTAATAAGTAAACAACACATGAGGAATCTAAATGTGGAAATAAACTAAAGAACCAAATGAAAACACCAGAATGGAAAAATACAATACCAGAAATGAAATATTTCTGGATGGGTTTAACAGGAGACTGGACACTACAGAAGAAACGATCGGTAAACTTGAAGACAGGTCAAGAGGAATTATCCAAACTGAACCACAGAAAAAAAAAGATAACAGCCTCTGTGACAAGTGGGACAACAGCACGTGCTCTAACATATATGTAACTGGAGTTCCAGAAGGAGAGCAGAGAGAGAGATTTTAGAGCAGAAAAAATATTTTAAGGAATAATGGTCCCAAATTTCCCATATATGATTTTAAAGAATCAGTCCAAAGATCCAAAAATCTCAATGAATGCCAAGCAGGATGAACATAAGGAAAATCATAGGTCAAACAGCTGAAAATTAAAGATAAAAAAAAAAAAAATCTGAAAGCAGGCCACATTACACACAGAGGAACAACCATGAAAATGACTGCTGGCTTTTCACAGAACAAATCAGACTACAATAAAATAAATTCTGTAAAGTACTAAAAAGAAAAAGAAAAACTTTCAATATAGAATTCAATATAGCAAAAAATATCTTTCAAAAATAAATATTTTCAAATAAATAAATGCTGAGAGAATATTTCACCAACAGACATACACTAAAAGATATATTAAAGGAAGTTCTTCAGGCTAAAGGGAAGAGATACCAGATAGAAACCTGGCTATACTAAATCAAAATACACTGCGATGAGTTAAGGATGAATATTATAATCCTTAGAGAAACCATCAAAAAACCCCAAGAGGTATTAAAAAGCCATTAGAAGAGATAAAAAGCTACTTTTGAAATAACTGATGAATTTAAAAGCAGGCAATATAAAAGGCATGGAGGGAAAAAAGCAAAGACTAAATTGGGCAAACAGGAAACAAATAGCAAGGTGGTAGACTTAAACCTAACCATATCAATAATGACATTAAATAACTGGACTAAATTTACTTACTTTCCAATGAAAAACCAGTGCAGACCAAACAAAATGAGTCTATGGGCTGAATTTAGCCAGAAAGTTTTGAACTCTGATCTTCCAGCCAGCCTTCCAAAATATATCTCCTAATTTACAATCTTGTTAGAAGAATATATACTTTTTTTTTTGCAATCGACAATCATTTCTTGCAGAAATGAAGACAAAAATAAAACTATGAATCTGCTCTGCAGTGCGCACTGCCCCGCTCTCGTGCGTGTGGGCCTGCCATGGGAGAAGAGTGCACACAGTGATGTAGCCGTTCAACATCACCCACCGGTGGGCTTAAACCACCTCATGTTTAAGCCTACACCACTGTTTACAGTCTTTATTAGGCAATCCACTTCAGAGAACATTTGTGTCACTCTTTGTGAATGAACACGGATCCAAAGTGTGATATAATCTCTTTAGAAATGGTTTAGAAGAGCAAACGGGGAGAGAAAGAGCTGAAGATACTTTTTTTCTTTTCCTTACCAAGTTGGAAGGACTTACTGGGATACGGTAATGGCCTTCTCAACCTATGCACTATTGGAGGCAAGGAGTACAAATTTAGGGCATTAAATTGGAGAATAAATGCACATTTAAAGATATGAAGAGGCTGCTAACAAGTGGTTTGGGTTACAGGTTCTGTTCATTCCTACCGTTCCTTGTTGATAAAAGTGTGGAGCCAGCTCCAACAGCCAGGCAGATTCAATGGCAGTCACATCTCTCATATAATACTTGGAGGTTTGTATAACTTCATTGTAGATAACCCTGAAACAAGAAAGAAACATGAGCTAATTTCCCATAGCTAATGATGATAGTCAGAAACCAATTAGAGATGTCATGCTTTTTCCCTTAACCTTTAACAGGTATCTATCTATTCTATTCCAGGAACTGTACTAGACACATGCATTTATTCGCTCACTTAAGCCTACATGAATTCTAGGACATCTCAATTATCTGCAAAGGTCTTTCCTGGATCCTTAATCTGCAGAACTCTGAACCGAGCCTAATGACTTAAAGGCTTGCCTGATTCTGAAACGGGCTGGGAATTAACTAAAGAAACACGAAGGAACTTTCTAGAATGATAAAAACATTTTATATCTTATTTGGAGTGTGGGTTACACTGGTATACACATTGACCAAAACTGATCTTTCATTACATATTAATATAAATTATACCTTTATTTAAGAAAAAAAAAAGACTTATCTGAGGCTCAGGTAATAGGCAACCAAAGAGGCAAGAATATCAAGTCCCCAGATTTTAGGAGTGTGAATTAATAGACAGGAGTTTCCGAACTATCTGAAGTGTTGATTCAGGGCTTCCCCCATGCCTGTAAACATGATAGCCACACTATGGCTGCCTGCCCCTCAAAAGCCAGTAAATGAATCACAGCTGATGAAATGCAAAAGGGTGAGGCCTCTGCAAAGAGGCAGCGAGGAGGGGCACTTTCTGTGTGGGTCTGCTTCAGGCTGGCTCCATTCCCCATCCTTTCTTCGCCCTTCAGAGCTCCTTGAGAATGAAGCAAAGGCTTTTCTGTCTCTTTTAAGCAACTCCCAAATTTAATCACCCCTAAGTCAGCAAACCCTCAAAAAAGGATCCAGAACTGAGAGGTTTGCCTTCCCTCTTCAAATTACCCTATTCAAATTGCACAAATGGCCATTGGGTAACATTTCTAAACCCAGAACTGACCAAGTCACTCTCTACTAAGAAGCTTCTAAGTCTGCACTGGTTGCAGATAAAGTCTAATGCCTTGGTAGGGGAACAGAGCTCAAACTTCAGCACTCATCAGAAACACCTGGAGGGCTTGTTAAACTAGTGTGCTGGGCCCCGCTGCAGTTTCTGACGCAGCAGAGCTGGGCAGGGCCTGAGAACCTGCATTTCTAACACATCTCCAGATGATGCTGATGCTGGGATGGAGAACACACTTTGGAAACCCCTCGTGTAGGATACAGAGTATCTTACCACAGACCTTTTTGCCTCTACCTTTATCTACTACAATCTTCCCTCCCTGTCTCCACACATGCCCAGGGCTTCTCCATCTCCCAACTGATGAAGGACCAGATGTCATTATCTTTAAAATTTCCCATCCATGGTTGATCAATATTTTGGTAAAATAAAATATAAATGAATTACTAGAAAAATGAAATTTAAAAAAAGACATACAAAATACAAGCACCCAATTTTTATTATTAAATTGGGCAAAGATAAACTTAACTTGTCAAAATGCTATAAAGATGCCTAAATATCTACTTTCAACTTCCATACTTATCACTTCCTTCCTGGGCAGTGTTAAGAGTGGCACCATTTCACCCCCCAGCCTGTGGGCCAGGCAAACCAATGATTCCCCACCGCCCAAAGACAGGAGGCTCATTCCCGTCCTTTTCGCCCTGATGACTCTCATTTCCACCTCAGAACAGAAGTCATCTCCATGAAGCCAGCCCTAACTCTCCCTGGCACATGAGGTGCCAACCCCAGCACTCTATCCATCCCTCCACCAAAGCCCTTCTCCTGAGATGCTGGAATCTGTGTCTGTCGCTACGACAGGACTGTGGACCCCACTCAATTCATCTCTGCACACTGTGCCCAGGGCAGGATTTAGCAGCTAGCCAGTGGGTAAAAACGAATGTTTGTTGAGTGGATGAGTGACAAATATCACCATTTGCTCAAGGAGATCTTTGATAGAGCAGATATTCTATAGAAAACTCAGCGTAACAAAGTCACCAATGTGTATGCAACACCTGTATTCCAGGCCCTGTGCCAGGCACTGGGGACCCAGAGATGAACAAGAACTCGGCCCTACCTTCAAAGCAGTTGCAAGGGGCTTTGCAGCAGGAGGGGGACTTACCAGCGAGGCGGCTTCTCTGCGTAGAGGACTGACGCAGGGTGGATGTGCAGTTCATGATCATCACGGATAGTCCTTGCAAAAATAGAAGCACATTCTAAATACTTATAGCAAGACTTTCCCACAGACGTTTTTAATATTGCCAAAAAAAAAAGTGCATGCAGATTGAACTTCTCACAAATAAAACAATTCTCTCCATCCTCTCTTGTGCCCTTTCTTGGCCCCCATACTACCACCTGCTGCCACCCCAGAAGTCAAGAATAAATCATGTGCAAAAGGAAGAGAAGAAAAACAACATGTAGACACTTGGAAAAAACCTTCAGAAATATAATGCTCTACCTATGTTTATGTTTATCAACTGCAGGTATTCTTTCAAAACAATTTCCTTCAGGACAGAAATAATGTATATGGTTTCTTCTATAAGCTTTTCTATTAAACAAGTTAAATACTAAGGATAAAGACCATAGGGAGAGGTAATAATAGTGGGGGGAAAAAAGCTCAATAATGGACTATTAATTTCTCAGAAATACTATATTTCCAATTCCAACTCCAATTTGATTCAACTTAATTCAAAAAAAAATATTTACTAGGCGCACAACTATCAGTAAGATCAGATCACAAGAGAACATTAACAGATCAGGATGTTGCTGCCCAAACCACAGTAAGGAGCGTTCCTGTGGGTGCCAGGGGTCTGTTGTGGGGGTGGGGGGATAAGTGCTTCAAGGGCCTTAAGCGAGCTCCTTGCTAGCACTGATAACAACAGGTCCTAGGGTCCTGCTGTCCCACCAGGTGGTGGTGAGCAGCTCTGGAACCTCTTAGGTGGCGCATATTTGTCAATATCACTGATAAAAGAAGTTCTAAAATGCTAATGAAAATTGCTAATTAATACTCCTCTTCAAGAGAGAGGGGGCAATCCAGATGACAAGTTGGGTGACCTCGGGCCTCTCCAGAGGGGGCTCACCTCCACCTAGGAACAGGTGCCTCAAACTCGGACAAAACTCAACGTGGGGAGGGGGAGCTCATATGATGGGCAACAGAACCATGATACTGACAGGCTGGGACACTTGGCCTGGAGTAATAAACAGAACATACTAGAAATAAATGTAAAGTGCTACACTTCCGTGCCAAGTCAGCTCCTGGGATATGAGATGGAGCAGACCTTGCTGCCAAAATACAAAAACACTCAATGCAACTCTGGACTCATTAACAGAAGCCCAGTGTCCAGGACAAGGGACCTTGGCTGGCCTCAAGATAACAGGATTGTAATAGCTTTTGAGGGAAAAACATTAACAACAAAATAATATGTGGAAGAAATCCAAAGAGTTGGGGAGAAATTCTTTTGATTGTTCCTTTTTAAAGAACAGAAAACAAGAACCACACTTTATTTTGTTTTTATTTTATTTTAGCATATTATGGGGGTACAAGTGTTAAGGTTACATATATTGCCCATGCCCCCTCCCCCCTCGAGTAAGAGCTTCAAGAGTGTCCATCCCCCAAACGTTGCACATCTTACTCGTTGTGGTTGTATATACCCATCCCCTCTTCCCCCCTCCCACCCTCCCGATACCCGATAAATGTTACTCCTATATGTCCACTTAGGTGTTGATCCATTAATACCAATTTGCTGGTGAGTACATGTGGTAAGAACTACACTTTAAACAGGCTACGGTGGAGTTAAGAAACTACAATGAGCCACGGGACAGAAAAGATGGACTAAAAATAACAATTTAAAGAACTGGAATGATTTAGTGTGGAGAAAAGAAGGCTAAGCTGGGCTTTAGTTTTTACAATATTTTAATATATTAAAGGTTCCTAAGGAAGGCATCAATGATTTTCTATGCCTAGAAAATGGAACTGGAAGAAACAGGTTGCAGACTACAGCTGGAGTTACACCCAGCTCATTGAATAAACACTTGCCAACTTCCAAAGACACCAAATATAGCCACAATGTACCAGTGATGTCAGTCCTGCAGATCTCTAAACACATAATGAACTACCCAATCTTTTGTAAAAGTAACTTCCCTTGGAAAGATCATCTTTAATGGTTTCTTCTATTCATATTATTCTATTATTAGAATTGAAACATTACCACCAGCCTCCAGGTATGTAATTGTCATCCCTCTAAAACATGCATTACAACATGTAGATGGGCTGAATATTTGAGAACCATTTCCAGAAAATGAAAATATTTTGCTTAAAGCTATATAGCTAACCTCAACTCATTTCTGGAAGGAGGTGTGATATAAATTAAAAATAATTATTTAATCTAATTTCTCTACTATTTCTACATATCAGCTTTCTGTGGGGTTTGGGTCATTTTTAAGATTTCTCAGCTGGGCACAGTGGCTCAAGGCTATAACCCTAGCTACTTAGGAGGCTGAGGCAGGAGGATCACTTGAGGGGTTTCAGACCAGCCTAATAATACCAAGATCCGTCTCTAAAAAAATTTTCAAAATTAGCTGGGTGTGGTGGTGCCAGTTGTAGCCAGTGGGGAAGCTGAGGCAGGAGGTTCCACTGGGCCTAGGAGTTCAAGGCAGCAGTGAGCTATGATCACACCACTGTACTCCAGCCTGAGTGACAGGGCAAGGCCCAGTCTCAAAAAAAAAAAAAAAAGATTTCTCTTTAACAAATGATTTCACAAAGTATCCTATTACCTGTAAGCTCCTGTAGAATGAAACCTCGCAGCATTTGCAAAGAATCCTGAAACAATGCACCTCAGAACCGGATCTGGATCACCTACACAAGGAACAGAGAGATAAGGATGAGAGAGACCCTCACCTGTCCTGCGCCCTGTGTGCTCAGGCCAGTGCCGGGATGCGCGGGGTCCAGTCCTAGCCCCACCCTAGGCTGCTTCAAGCTACCTAGAAACCCTCTCGTGAACCAGCTCCAGCCCTGCACTTCCCAATGCTGGATGCATCTGAGGCCGTTCCCACCTTCCAGAATGGCTGCTGAGGAGAACAATGCTGGACTGCTCCTTAAACTTGGGGACCCTCCAACCCCCCTCAGCCACAGATGACTGGACCGAGGCTGGGCACCAGAACCTACAAAAGCTACGCCATAGGTTGCCCAGGGACCTCAGAACTCCTTCTTAAGAGAGCATGTGGGAGTGATGATCTTTCCCTAAGACACAAACTGGCATACTACACTACAATGTTATTTCTGTGGTTATAAGCTACTGTGTTTGAAAACTGAAGCAATGTTTCAAACATTCCATTTTAATTGGTGTTTCTACTGCTATAGTAAACATTGTCCAAGAATAAAGCTTCCCCATTTCTTACAGAATATCTGTAGGATACATTCCAAATTACTGTGCAAAACGATAATGCCATTTTTATGGCTTACGACATAACCAGATTTCATCAATTTTAAGACTCACTGCCTTTTTTAAATTTTAACTCACTGAAATTAGGATAGCATTTTACAGTTATAACGGGCAACATTTTTTCTTCCTTAGTGATACATAAAATAATGATGTATCTTATACATGATGGTGTCTTAGATCCAAACAAATATAGTATGTTGGTAAGTTCATTCCCTAAAGGTGATACTATTTACAAAGCCATCAACAATATATAAAAATGTCAGTCTCACTGAATTCTGACCAGCAATGCTTTGGCAAAAAGGGCTACTTTCTTTTATTTTACATTTATTTGATTACTATCTATGTATTTCTTCTTTTGTGAACTTTTTGTTCCAATTCTTTGATCATATATCACCTTGAAAACTAATGTATTTTTCTAAATAAGTTAAATAAAACCATTCCATAATAAAGTTTTAAATCTTTATTGTTTATCTCATGACTGCTGAAAATATCTTTTACTGTTTGCTTTCTCATTTTTTAACATTTAGATGTTCTAAATTTGTATGTGATTTAATCTCCATGATTTTCTCTATTGTTCCTAAGCAAAGAACTGATAAATCCCAAATCTACATTTCTAATTATGATCTGATCCAAGATTCAGTCCTTCCTCTAGAAATTTCCACATAAAACATGCATTATCAGAGGCCATATTGCTTCCAAAGGATGAAAATCAGTTCTTGAGGGCAGAGGTAGGAGGGAAGCCTTAGATAGTATAATGGTCTGGGGCCCTCCGAAGCTCAACCCCACCTTACAAAATCATAGTCCCTAGCATTTAATTTCTCTCATTTAATTTCTTGCCTCTGAGCCTCATTTATCTTATCTGTAGAATGGAGATAATAGCAGCACAAATTTCACAGGTTGTCACAAGCATTAAATGAATTACATATGAAACATTCAAGAATGCTGCCTGGCCATATAAGCACTCAAGAAATGTTAACAAGCACTAGGGGTATTGAGTATCTGGCACACAGGAGATATTCAAGCCAATTGCTCAAAAAATGAAATGTGTCCCTTCCTCAGAAGTGTGGTCTTCTGAGCTGCACAGATCTGGCTCTGCTCATTCCCAGCTGAGTTGTCCTGAACTTAATTTAACTTCTCCCAAGGACTTCATGACTCATCCATAAAATAAGGATAGTATCACCTACCCTTCACAGAACAGGAGATCAGGGAGAGAGTACCTATAGAACCCCTGCCACAGTGAAATCTACTGTGTCCTCTATGAATGGTTAGTGCTGGAGGCCAGAGACTGTGTCTTACACAGTACTTCTCTGCCTCACCCATACTAACTGCCTAGGCTAAACACACAGCACATGCTTTAATAATACTTGTATTTGAAAATAATGTAATATTTATTTAATAGCCATAAATATCAGCTACTTAAGTCATTTTTCTTGCAAAGCCTACATGGGAAAGTCACTTGTATGATGTGCAATGATGTGAATGTTAATAATTCTTAAGTGTTGTCATGGGCTATGAAATTCCTTTAGTAAGAATATCCCTCAGAAATAAAAATGAACTTCCTTGGAAAAAATATGCAACTTTACATTCAGCTTTCAGCTGATTCAGGGCAATTCAAAATGTGAAACTTGGTGTAGGTACAGAGCACACTGTGCTGCCTTGCACCAGCCCGGCATAAGAACTTTAAGGATGCAACCAAACAGCAAAGAAGGGAAGTCCCCAGCTATAGCAGCTTATTCTCACCTTCACTAGACTTCTTGGGTACTTGAAACTTGACAAGAAGCTTTTTCAATTGTTCTCGTACAGTTGCAGCTCTGACAAGGCCCTTGTAATTCAGGAAATGTTCCTGACACCACTGAGAGTTCTTATTGTGCTACAGAACAACCCGGACAGAGAGAGTTAGAAAAACACAGAATGTTCTTGACTAAGGCTATATTGTGAAGATAACTTTTCTCTTTCCCCATTTTTCTATCCAATGGGATGAGATCTTCAGATGCTCAATATCTCAAAACAGTTGTTAACCACCGTGCACATGTCTGATTACACTGCAACCTCCCTCTCTTCTCTAAAGGGCAAATGAGAACTTAATGACAAGCAGAGTCATTTTCAATCTTAAACACCTACATGAGACGTGAACCATTACAAAGAATCACTTCCCTGTGGTTCTTTATAAATCAACTTTTCTTCTTTGGTATGTTTGAATTTACCACTTTATTATACTCTAGGCAAGCAATATGACACCTGCCAATGTAGAAATAATTTGCAAATTATTTTTTCTCCAAAGTATTATTTTTCTCTCAACAGTGTTTAATTTTTCCTACCTTCTTAAGTATGATCATAATATTTGGATGAAATTATCTCTGTGAGAATATACCTCTGAAATTATATTCTAAAGCAGGGAGGAAATTGTTTTAAATATAAGATTTTCCAAGAAGGCAACTACAGAATAATACAATGTAGACCTACACCTACATTCTACTGGTAAAGAAAGATTCAGACTGCAGATGATATATTGTGCTTCTACAAATGAATTTTAACTGATTGAATCAATAAGACAAGATTTTCTAAAAACTCTTCATTAACTGAATAATCTTCCTCAAATCTCTGATAAAATAAAAATTTAGTACTTCCCACTTCTAAAAATATATTTAAGAAATGAACACTGGAAATCTGAAATATCATATTCTTTCCTGTATAGGAGAGGTTTCTTTTTTCCTCATTTTCATCAGCTTTAGATCTCTCTTTTTAACAATTCATAGTGAGAACTTTAAGCTGTTTTATTTGCTCTTAGTTTTATAGAATATAAAGAATAAAAATTAACATTGCTCATAGTTACATATAGGCAGGAGATGTGAATACACACAAATCCTCACCCAAATGTCTTCTCATGGCAGCTGGGATAGACTTGAAGATTCAACTCAAAACTATAAGTTGCTCTCAGCCTCATTTACCTAGCAGAAAAATATAACAGAATTTTCTACTCAAATGTTGCTTTTCTGTCTAATAAACAGTGGATGTGAGGTATTTTGAGGCGGAGCCCAGAGCCTGCTGCCAGCGTACCATAGCTCCAGGCATGGGAAAGCAATAAGCAACTCCTGTGTTCTTTCCAGCAATACGGCACCAGAAAGCCAGGCAGAAAGCTCCACCCACCAACTAGAAGTACTGGCAATAAGTCTAATAGGAAAATAAAGGGGTCTCTTGGCCATTCCTTTATGAACTGAACTTCTGGGATCCTCACTCCTAGATCACCTCCAGTGGGTAGGTGCGCTGAGGGAGCCCTTTGAGCAGTAGCTGTGCTTACTTTGATAAATGCTTCGTACACGTTAAGCATAGTGAGGTGATCGCCCTCCTCCACGGCAAATTTACGGTGCACTCGAATCTGGAAAGAATAAAACAACGTTTAGAAGTTGACTCCTATGGTTTTGTTTACCAGGAGATAACACTGCATGATGAATAACACATGGGTTGTGAATTCAGAAAGATCTGGTTTGCACCATTCTAGCTCTGTGGTACCTTGCAAGCCCTCAGATTGGTTATTTATTCTTTCTGGACTTTGACCTCTATTTCCTTATCTGTAAAATTAGGAAATTAAACCTCTCTGTCAAGATTGCTGTGGATTAAGATAATTTACTACTAAGTACTTGGCACAGAAATCTGATAAATGCTCTTTTGTCTCTCTCCTCCTTGATCCAGTTGGTATCATCTCTTTCATGTGAACTCCTCCCAGCCCCTGAAGGAACGCAGGCTCCAGAAGGGCGGCGGCCGACTCTGGCACATGGGAGACACTGGATAATTCTAGGCTACCAATAGCTGCACAATCCTGTCAGACCCCATCCTTGAATTTCTCTTTCTGTAAAATGCTGAGCAATGCCATATGCTTCCACGGGTTAAAGGAGCAGCATATACAACATACACACAAGTACACAAATACAGCCATTGCTTAATGACAGGGATTCATTCCAAGAAATGCATTGTTAGGCAATTTCGTTGTTGGGCGAACACCAGAGTGTACCTACACAAACCCCTACACACCTAGGCTATATGGTACTGCTCCTAGGCTTCAAACCTCCAGAGCATGTTACTGTACTGAATACTATAGGCAATGGTAACACAAAGGTAAGTATCTGTGTATCTAAACATATCTAAACACAGAAAAGGCACAGTAAAAACACAGTATTATTAATACAATCTCATGGGACCACCATCATATATGGGTCCGTTGGTGACCAAAATGTTGTTATGCAGCACATGACTATATATTAACTGTGGAATTTTATCCTTGAACCAAATACCACATACTCTTCCTCCCTTCTTCCCTTTCACACACTCATTCACAGATATTCACCAAGCACCCCCTACAGACCAGGCACTGTTGTAAGCATATCAGCTGGTAAGAAGCACTAAAGAGAAAAATAAACCGGGGAATGGAGACGGGAAGAGGGGGCTATATTGCAATTTGAGACATAGTGGTCAGAACTTCTGTTTTCTCATCTTTAAAGTTAGTTTGCTTGCTCTGAGGCAGGATTATTAAAAATAATTTTTTTAAAAAAAGAGAAAATGGACAGAAGCATCCAGGCCCAAACTTTGTAACTATAGTTATACACAGTGAGGGGAGAGCTCAACAAGCCGTAAGAAAGTCTCTCTCCTCCTTGCCACACGTCCAAATGCAGCCCCTCCATGCACAAGGCTGCTGCCTGCTCCTCAGCTCTTCCAACAGGAATCGACTTTGAACTCACCTGTGCCCTACCTCAATCACTACCCCACTCTGACAGTCTCTTTAGCATCATGACTTTTCCTTCACTGCCTTTCCAGCATTCTCTCTTTTAGTCATTGCTGATGCCTATGCTTTAGGCAGGGTATTGGCATCTCTTAAGCTCAAAATGCCCCACCTGCAACACCACCATGACGCGGTGTCATGCCCAGAATCACCCTGCGGTGCCCAGGCCCCTAACTTCTTATGTCACTAACATCCTCACCAAGGTTTCTACCAGAGCAGCCTGATGAGCAGCCTGATGACAACTTCCCATATGGAAAACCGGAGGTCAGTAGTTCAATGGTTAAGGCCTGGGACTTTGGACTCTGAAAGCCAACTTCACCAATTTTGGCCGTGCAACCACGAATGAGTTACCTAATCTTTCTTTGCCTCCATCTTTAAAATATGGTAACAGTATCTACCTCCCAGGTTTATGGTGAAGACAAAAATGAAATGATGCCTGTAAAATGCTTGGCACAATGTCAGGCATACAGTAAACACTCAGATGTGAGCTGGTATCTTTGGCACAGCTTCATCTTTACTGGTTCCTGGGTAGACTTTTAACAAGGAAAGCTCGAAGTGGAAGAGACTGACTGGTATGAGCAGCTTGGGATAAAGCTGGACTTACTGCCTGAGACTTCTGGTTTGAGGGGACCACAAAGATATTCTGGATCTGCATCATGGCCGCGATGCTTAAAATTTCCTGAGAACAGCCAAAATTTCCTATAAAACAAAAAGCATGTTTTATTTCAAACATACAATGTGTCTGTCAACAAGGAGTGAAAAGACATTTTCCCATATTTTCCTTCCACCATACTGTAAACTAAGATCATATATTTTATATAGTTTCATTTTTAAGCTTATAATATATAAATATTTCACTATGCCAAGTGGAATGTCCTATATGTGACCCAGATGAACAGTAGCTTTGCAGGACTCTGAGAAAGGAGCTGCTATTCCACTCTGCGGCTGTAAAACCAAAGGACTCTTTGCTATAAGCCCAGGTGGCGTCCAGACTGGCCCCGTTATAAAGGGCAAGTCACCTCCACACTGCTCCCTACGGTCGTGTGGACGTCCAGGCAGTAAGCCTGAGAAAAAAGGGGGACAGGGAATATGTAGGTTATGTCCCTTCTGTTGTTTTGCTGCTCCCGGACTCTTCTATGAAGTGGTCTCCCTCTCAAAAGGGCTCATCTCAGCTGGGAAGCCCGAGGCACAACCAGACCAGGACAGCATTATGTGGGCTGTCGCTAGCACCTGGGAACAGACTCAGCAGCATTCAACATCGGGGCATTCAGCAAACTGCACCGCCTATCCCGTCTCCCCACAGCCTCCTGTTCACAAAGAATGTGCTTCCCCAACCCCACACTTAGAGTCCTGTTTCTCAGTGTAAGGCTAAGGGCATTTGGTTGCTCCAAAACAAAACTATGAAGACCATGGTGAAGACCATGCTGGGTCTGAAATACATCTTTTTTTTTTTTTTTTTTTTTTTGAGACAGAGTCTCGCTCTCTTGCCTGGGCTAGAGTGCCATAGTGTCAGCCTAGCTCACAGCAACCTCAATCTCCTGGGCTTGAGTGATCCTTCTGCCTCAGCCTCCCGAGTAGCTGGGACTACAGGCATGCGCCACCATGCCCGGCTAATTTTTATATATATATATATCAGTTGGCCAATTAATTTCTTTCTATTTATAGTAGAGACGGGGTCTCGCTCTTGCTCAGGCTGGTTTTGAACTCCTGACCTTGAGCAATCCGCCCGCCTCGGCCTCCCAAGAGCTAGGATTACAGGCGTGAGCCACAGCGCCCGGCCTGAAATACATCTTTATAAATTGCCAGTTGATATAAAAGTTAGACAAAAGCAAGAAAATATTAATATTACCTTTCCTGGGGTAGGAGGGAAGACAAACTAGACTGTCTAGATGATTGTGATTTCTAATTATGAAAAGATCTCTAGGTTATATACTTTTATCCTAAAACTCATATCCTCATAAAATCTGAAGGGGTCAGAGAAATTGGAAGCCTTGTGCATTGCTGGTCGGAGTGCAAAATGGTACAGCCACTGTGGAAAATAGTATGGTGATTCCTCAAAAAAATTAAAGTTAGTATAGCCATTTTGCAAAAGAACATGGAGGTTCCTTGAAAAGCTAAAAATAGAATTACCTTATGATATAGCAATCCTACTTCGTGGTATAATATTCAAAAGAATTGAAATTGATATGTCAAAGAGATATCTACACTTCCATATTCATTTCAGCATTACTCACAATAGCCAAAATATGGAAGCAACCTAAGTGTCCACAGTGAATAAATGAATAAAGAAAATGTACTGTGTGTATATATACACAATGAGATACTACACAGCCTTTAAAAAGAAGAAATTTCTAGCATTCTCAACAACATAGATGGAACTAGAGGACATTATACTAAGTGAAATAAGCCAGTCACAGAAAGACAAACACTGTATGATCTCACTTATATGTGGAATCTAAAAAGTTGATCTTACAGAAACAGGGGAAGGATGGAAAGGATGGGGAAAAGAAGATGTTCATCAGAAGGTATAAAATTTCAGTTAGACTGGAAGAATAACTTTTAGTGATTTATTACACCGCATGATGACTACAGTTAATAATATATTATTACAATTTCCAAATTGCTAAAAGAATAGATTTTTAATGTTCCACCACAAAAAAATGGTAAGTTGGTAAAGTGGTAGCTATGTTAATTGGCCTGATTGAATCTATCATGTATATATAGATCAAAAGATCACACTGTACCATCATTATTATTTGTCAGTTGAAAATAAATTTTTAAGCACTCTGGGAGGCTGAGATAGGAGGATGGCTTAAGGCCAGGAGTTTGAGATCAGCCTAAGCACAAGGAAGACACCATCTCTACAAAAAATTGAAAAACAATTAGTCAGATGAGGTGGCAACCTCACCAGTAGTCCCGGCTACTCAGGAGGCTGAGGCAGGAGGATCAACTTGAGTCTATGAGTTTGAGGTTGCAGTGAGCTAGGATGATGCCCTGCATTCTAGCCAGGGCAATAGAATGAGACTCTGTCTGAAAAAATAAATAAATAAAAATGTTTAAAAACCCACAAATTTTTAAAAATTTAAACAAAGAATTACCATATGATTTAGTAATTCCACTTCTGGGTGTATACTCAAAAGAAATGAAAGCCAGGACTCAAAGAGATTTGTATACCGCTGTTCATAACAGCATTATTCATAATGGCCAAAAGGCAACCTAAGTGTCCATCCAATGAATGGATAAACATAATGTGGTATTATACAAAGGCAGTGGAATATTATTCAGCCTTAAAAGTAAAAGAAATTTTGATACACATCACGACATGAATGAACCTTGAAAACATTATGTTAAGTGAAATAAGCCACTCACAAAGTTATGACTCCACTTATATAAGGTTCCAATGAGTAGTCAAATTCCTAGAGACGGAAAGCAGAATGATGGTTGCCAGGGGCTGGGAGTGGAGGGTTAGTGTTTAATGAGTACAGAGTTTCAGTGGGGAAGATGGAAAAAGTCCTAGAAATGGATGGTACTGCTATTGCACAACAATGTGAATGTACTAAATGTCACAGAATTACATACTTAAAAATGGTAAATTTTATGTTAGTTTTTTTTTTTTTTTAATTGCAATTGTGCCCTGTTCCCCAGGGTGCTCAGAATTCAGGGAAATAACTCCTCTGATAATCCAAATGAAATCAACTCGAGCTCTCAGTCTCCACCCACCTGATTCAAGCAGCATTTTGGCAAACATGGGATTCAAAGGAAACTCTGCTATTCTCATGCCAAGTGGTTCGGTTAGGCGACAGTCTTTGTCCAGACCTGCCATAAGAACAACAAAAGAAATCAGAAGGCACATACCATTGTGCTGGAAGATGTACAGTTGTTAAGAGAATAAAAGATGATGTATGCTCAAATGAAGGTATCCAAAAGATGATTCATGCACTAGCAAACTCAGTCTGATACCAGAGTGCTGTTACATTAAAAGAAGAAAAGATCTCCACTGAGCTCTGAATATTTAATTTTAAAAAACTGATACTTCTAATGACTTTTCAAGGATTTAATTAGAAGGAAACAGCCCTGCAGCCTTCCCTCGCTCCCACACTCCTCAACCCACAACAGCCTCACTTCGTTCTCACTGCTCCACAGAGAATGCTCTTTCCAAGGGCCCAACAACTAGGCAGTGCCAAAAACAAAGGCCATCTTCCTTCTGGTCTCCAGCAGCACCTGACTCTGCGACCATGGCTCCCGTGACCCCCTATACTCTCCTGGTTCTCTGCCATCTTCCTTGCTGTCCCCCCTCAGTCACCACCTGGATCATTTCCCACGTCCATGACCCGACAGGCCACAGATGTGCCAGGATGGTATCCCACCTCTGTGCTCTTCTCATGCAACATGAGCAAGTATAAGGCCAGCAACTTGGAACCTAAACGTGTGCTAGCCCAGGTCACTCTGGAGTCAACACCAGACCTGTCTACCCACCTGCCTCCTGGACAGTCACAAACTGGGCTGACTCCTCCAATTCCCCACCTTCCCTCCTTGCCTCTCTACGACCTGCCAACATCCAGGTATTGGACTCCAAGACCCCTGAAATGTTGACTATAGTTTTCCTAACTAAAAGGAATGCTGCAAAAGTTCAGAGTAAGACAGAAAAGGTCAGTTCTCTTCTGTTCCAATATAATCATCTCTTTAAAGGTGATAATTCAGCTTGAAACCAAATTAAGTTGGGGGTTTCCTGCTACCTTTTCCAGCTTACTAGGGCAGTGAAGAAATAGGAGATATTTTGAAATTCATTCTGTTTGATTGAAGAAAAATCAGCTTAACGAAAAATTCCTATGAAGCCAATGTTTTCTCATCCTCATTTCAGATTATCCCAGCAAACCTTGCTTTCAAGTGCCTATTACTTGCTCAAGAACAGGGAACAGAACCCTATTCTAACACACACTCACTCTGGGCTAATCTTATGTTGACCCAGCAAAAGGCCTTTTAAATCACTGGAGATCTTTTAAATCAGTAATTGGCTATTCCTTCATAGAGAAGTATCATAAATATAATGAATGAAGAAGGACCTCTACTTCACCTCACACCACAATATTAACTCGAAATGGATCACAAACCTACTGTAAGGGCCAAAACTATAACATTCTTTAAAGAAAACCTAGGAGTAAATCTTAATGACCATATGACCATGGATTAGGCAATGGTTTCTTAGAAATGACACCAAAAGCAGAAATGACAAAAGAAAAAACAGATAAACTGAGCTATACAAAAACCTAAAACTTCTGTACCACAAACAATACTATCAAGTAAGTAAAAAGCCAACCTACAGAAATGGGAGAAATATTTATAAATCACATATCTGATAAGAATTTGTATCAGAATATATAATAAACTCCAACTCAACAAAAAAAAGGACAATAATACAAATAAAAATGGGCAAAGAATTTGAACAGACTTTTCTCCAAAGAAGATAGGCAAATGGCCAATAAGCATATGAAAAGGTGTATAACATCATGAGTCACCAAGAAAATGCACATCAAAACCACAAGAGACCATTTCATATTCTCTAGGATAGCTAAAACACACAAGACAGATAATAACAAACACTGGCAACAATGTGGAGAAACTGGAACTCTCATAGGTTGCTAATGGGAATGCCCACCAAAAACCTGTATGCTAATCATATTCATAGTAGCATTATGTATGTAGCCACAGAGTGGAAACAATCCAAATACCCATCAACTAATGAACAGATAAAAATAACATGTGATATATTCATACAACAGAATATTATTGAGCAATAAAAAGGAATAAACTACCAATACATACTACAACATGGAGGAACCTTGGAAACACCATGCTAAATGTAAGAAGTGGCTATAGTCTGGATGTGGTTTGTCCCCACCAAAATTCATGTTGAAATCTGATCCCCAATATGGCAGTACTGGTGAGGCCTAATGGGAGGTGTCTGAGTCACGAGGGCAGATCCCTCACGAGTAGATGAATGCCCTCCTCAGGGGTAAAGGATGAGTTCCCATAAAAGTGGGTTATTAAAAAGAGAGTCTGGCTCTTTCTTGCTTCCTCTCTCACCATGTGATCTCTGCATGTGTCCATGCCCCCTTCCAATTTCTGCCATGACTAGAGGCAGCATGAGGCCTTCAACAGATACAGCTGCCCAATCTTGGGCTTTTCAGCCACCAGAACCATGAACCAAATAAACGTCTTTTCTTTATAAATTATCCAGCCTCAGGTATTGTGTTATTACAACACAAAGTGGACTAAGACAGAAGCCAATTAAAAAAAAAAAAAAAAAAAGAGCCGGGCATGGTGGCTCACGCCTGTAATCCTAGCACTTTGGGAGGCCGAGGCGGGCGGATTGCTCAAGGTCAGGAGTTCAAAACCAGCTCTACCAAAAATAGAAATAAATTAATTGACCAACTAAAAATATATATACAAAAAATTAGCCGGGCATGGTGGCGCATGCCTGTAGTCCCAACTACTCGGGAGGCTGAGGCAGTAGGATCACTGAGCCCCGGAGATTGAGGTTGCTGTGAGCCAGGCTGACGCCACGGCACTCACTCTAGCCTGGGCAACAAAGTGAGACTCTGTCTCAAAAAAACAAAAAAAAACAAAAAAAAAAGAAAAAAAAAAAAAGACCACATATTATACAATCCCATTTATATGAAATGTCCAGAAGAGGCAAATCTACAGAGATAGAAAATGTCTACAGAGATAGAACCAGATTAGTGGTTGCCGAGGGTGGAGGGTGGAGTACAGGGAATGGGGAGTGAGTGCTAATGGGTAAGGCATTTTTTTGGGTGATAAATGTGTTCTAAAATTAGATTGTGGTGATAGCTGCACAACCCTGTGAATATACTAAAAGCCACTGAATTATACATCACAAATGAGTAAACTGTATAGTATATATAAATTATACTTTAATAAAGCTGTTTTAAAAAGAGTAGCACTGGCCGGGCGCTGTGGCTCACGCCTGTAATCCTAGCTCTTGGGAGGCCGAGGCGGGCGGATTGCTCAAGGTCAGGAGTTCAAAACCAGCCTGAGCGAGACCCCGTCTCTACTATAAATACAAAGAAATTAATTGGCCAACTGATATATATATATAAAAAATTAGCCGGGCATGGTGGCGCATGCCTGTAGTCCCAGCTACCCGGGAGGCTGAGGCAGAAGGATCACTCGAGCCCAGGAGTTTGAGGTTGCTGTGAGCTAGGCTGATGCCACGGCACTCACTCTAGCCCGGGCAACAAAGCGAGACTCTGTCTCAAAAAAAAAAAAAAAAAAAAAAAAGAGTAGCACTCAGAATAAATCTCAAAGAACAAAACCTCCACTAAAACTTAATACCAAAGTGAATATTAAATTCAGTTGGGGCACCATTCGCAGAAGAGACAGTACTTCCTAAAGAGGTGGATTCAGGCTACAATTTTCTCTATCGTATGATAAATGCTACATTTTCAAACACAGGAAAATAGAGGTTCCCTGATAACACAATGTTTCCTTGCCCAAACAATAACACGAGCTGGTAATGTACCCAGTTCTCCACAGACAACTCCAGGAATGAAATGGAGTTAGGGAGAGAAACACTGAGCCACAGGTTCAAAATGTGGTGTGGGGGATAGAGAAAAAAGTCCAAGGAGGTAACATCTGAAATACTGGTAGGGAATCGCAATCTCTGGCTGCCTCTTAGGAGTTTGGCACTATGATGGTTATTAATAGCTTTTGATGAACTGGCATGCTGTTATAAACTCAGTCATAATTGTCCATCATGTTCTGAATCTAATAAGAACCCCAACTTCTTATTTCAATAGAGTATCGTTAAGAGGATTATATATACGGGGAGAACCAACCCTATTCCTAAAGACACCAGGAGCCCTAAAGTGAATACAACCTAATATCACATAGGAGAACATGTAATAAAAGAGAAATTGGCATACCTCCCAGAGCATAGAGTAACTCCAAAGCTTGAACCATCGACTGTGCTGGAGGGGGCTGTAAATAAAACAAAAATCCTCCTAAATCAATTTCTTTGGGCAATAGACATAAAAATGTAACCATTTCCTGCTCAAATCCACTCTCTTCTCTAACATGCCCCCTACTTCCCAGCATTCTTAGCACCCTTAATATGACGCAGCCTATAGGCTCAGCTTGATTAAACACTTAATCACTTAACACTTGAAGCCCTCCCTCAGCCTCCCCTCCGTCAGAAGCAATGGGTCCCTACCTCTAACTCCGTCCTCACTTCCCCTAAACTCTCTTTTGACATTTCTAACTTTCCTTTCATAGATTCAACTTTCTACCACACTGGGAGCCCCAGGATACTACAGGACTGGGGAGGATTTATCTTTGCATCACCCAGAGCCCCACGCCAGGCCTTGCCTATGGTAGGTGAATAGCATACATTGAATTTGAATTGCTGAAAATAACAGAGGATGATAGAGAACCCAAAGTTAACCAAAGCTGATGCTATGACCTTCAGTCTGATTCTCTGGACCCACACCTCCTTCTTTCTTTCCACAAATCTTTACTGAGCACCTACTAAGTGCCAGGCATTATTATTTTCTTCTAAGTTATTTGGTTTCTATAAGCCAGATAAATTATAGTACTTTTTCAAACTGCATAACATTTTTTCTAAATGCATTCACATAACCAATGTACTTAAAGCATTGCACTGTTTCAGCTCAATTTTTACAGATAAGGAAAGTGAATAAAAGTAAATAAAAGACATTTGAACAAGCTCATATATGCAGGTGACGGCAAAATCAGAAGCTGAACTCCACTTTTTTTTCCATTCTACCTCCCCCACTTTGTTTGCCATGGAACACAATAGAACTTTTAAAGTTGTAATGATGGCACACACAGGTACACACACTTACGAAGGCAAAAACTAAACCTATCTGATTCATTACACAGAGAGTACTCAACAAATCACTGTTGAGCAAATCATGTAAGTGATCCACAAGACTCTCCTCAATGCCACGAAATATTTCTTTACATACAGCCAAAATGTACAGCACCTAATGGAGGAGCTTAAACCCTCTGGAGATCTCTCATTATACGAGGTAACAGGAATAGTAAAGCCATGAATTAGTTTATAACAATTACAGAACAAAACTAACAAGGTCCTCTTTGACTCCTTTAAATCCCTGGCCCTATTTCCAGTCAATAATCACCAATCAAAAAAATTTACAACCCACCCCACTCCAAAATCATATCCATAGTATTTTCACCTAAACACACACCAGTATTTCTCTATGAACTCAGCTGACTTGGGATCATATAAACATTGTTTTAACATATTTGGAATTATTGTGCATGCGTAATTTTAGTTTGTTCTTTTTGCTGTATGTTTTTTCTGTTTTCATTGTCGCTTGCACCCAAAGAAGCCTCACAACAATTACTTGGGGTAGCTGCGTAACACTCTATCATAGTCACTCCACAAAGAAGTCAATTTTCTTATTCCTAGGCAATTGAGTTGCTTCCAGTTTTTCACAACTGTGAATAACACTGCTAAACATACAAAAGCATATGTACCCTGGGATTTCAACTATAAAAAATATAATTTCAGGAGAAAATACACAGAAGGGACTATATGAAGATGAACTTGCATGTTTTTCTTCTCATTTTTCAATTGTCCAAAAGTTTTGTTATTTATAAATTTAATATAAAATAATGCTATAAGCATTATCATATATGAAAGCTCTTTTCTTTTTAATTGTTTTTTTCAAGAGAAATTTCTATGAGAAAAAATAGCAGGCATGTCTATGGCTCGTTAAATATTATCACAAAGTCCTGCATGAGGACAGAAACAGAGTATAAAACCACCAGCAATACAGGAAAAATTTACTTTCACAAACTGTGTCAGCTTTGGATTTCATCATTCTTCTTTATGGCTGATCATCTAACAGTGCAAAGGCATTCTCTACCACTATCTTAGTGTGCACTCACCTCTCTCCTAGAGAAGCTCAACGTGTCCTAAAGTCAGTTTATAATTTGTGCTGTTTCCTTCCCTTAGCTTTGTCTTAGTGGATGTTTGATTTACTCTAAATGGTGTATGTATGAAAACTCTTTGTACTTTTTGAGATAGATATTTATCTGTTATTTCTGCCATTATATGTTTTCCTTTAATCTTACATGTGAGGCTTCTCATAAGCTTTTAATTTGCATATACTGTTCATCTTTTCTTTACAATATCTCCTACTGCACACCAAAAATCAAACGGTATATTTTCTCTATACTTAGGGTAAGCACACAACTGTTTTCTTTGGAGGGGTTGGTATTTATACATTATGTTCTTTCATTCACCTGGTTTCCATGACATATGACATTAGGGACCTTATTGTCCAAGAATCCACACCTGTCACACCATACCAATACAGCTGGGATAGAACAAAGAGTTAAAATGCAACTTATCAAATCATAAAAATTCTAGAAAGAAATATGAGTGAATATGTATTAACTGACATAGATAAAAGAAGTGCTTCATAGTCAGGCACAGTGGCATGCACCTATAATCTCAGCTACTCGGGAGACTGAAGTGGGAGGACTGCTTGAGCCCAGAAGTTTGAGACTAGCCTGGGCAACACAGCGAGACCCCATCTCAAATAAATTAAAAAAAAAAAAAAGGAAAAAGGAGTGCTTCAGAAGCACAAGAATAGCATAAAGGCAAAGACAAAAAGATTTTACCATAGATATGTTTAGAATGTGTGCACATTAAAAAACAAAAAGCCAATAAAATACAAATAACAAAAAAATAGCAAAAAATATTACAAAGGTTAATGTCTTTAATATTTAAAGGACTCTTGGAAAGTTACTAACAAACACTAATCCTAACAGATAAATGGCTTAACAATTCAGAAGAATTAAAAATGGCAGATTAAAATTTTACCTTATGAGAAATCAAAAAAAAAAAAAAAGAGATAAAGATAACATCCACTCCCTCTCTGGGCAGTCAAATTAGCAAAGCTAAACAAACACGGCATGACAGGATACCATGACCTGGGCATTCACGCAGTACAGTATTGCTGGAGCTGACACAGTACAGCAATCTGGCCAAGTATCAAGAGCTATGACAACAGGACTATAGCCCTTTGACGCAATAATCCCACTCACAGAAAGCTGCCTTAGGAAAGAAGCAGTCTTGCAGTCAGCCCTAGGGTCTTTCTACAGCTCTACCAAAACCCCCAGGGCTCCCCCAGTTGTTGTGCATCTAGGTCCTCTTGCATCTAGGCCTACACACAGACTTGCTATCCTGAACTCTCCACCCCTCCTGACGTGGTGAAATCCTACTTGGATTTCAGGTTTCACCTCACACATGACCAATGACACTGGGGGCTCTTCCTCTCGGAGCACTGGGCACACTGCTCTGTAATTACCCACTTACCTGTCTCTATCCCCTAGCAGGCAAAAACAGGAACTAGACAAGAATAGGAACTGTGGCTGCCTTATCTGGCTGTTTTCCCCCATGCCCTGCAAAGTACACATAACACATGACCTGAACGGGAAAAGAAAAGGAAAGATGGCATGTCCTACGACAATGTCTTGATATCCCCCGTGCACTCTCCTGCCTCTCTGTGGTCCCAGATGGCAGACAGGTCTTACCGACATGAAGTGGAACCTGAGGACATTGTCAATTCCCAGTGCTTTCAGCTGCAGGATGACAGGTGCCAAATTGCTACGCTGCATCTCAGGAACAGTAGATTCGGGCAGCTTGTCAAAGGCTTCCTCTGAGGATAGGAAATCAGAACTGTTTGGGATCAAACGTCACAATCAAATGCAATCATTGTGCCAAAGGGACAGTTTTTCTTCTGTACCTTGAACAAGAGCTCTAGGATTCTAGGAGCAGATACATATGATATTATAATGTTGTTTTTATATTTAAGAAAGACCATTCTATTTAAAAATTACTTTTGATAAATATAGTTGAACAATACATCTTTACAAAGTTTGTCTTTTTATTTAGAATGCTGTTTCTCAAGTGCTTTTTGTCAGCAAAACATTAAACCAAAACAACAAGTGTTTATTGACTCGGCATTAGTGCCCAGTTACCAGCATGTTTGCTTGGGGTAGAGAAGTTAAGGAGGTAGGAACTGCACACATAAGCTAAGAGCAACTTCAAAATAGCTCACTAAAATAGCAACCAAAATACAACAAATGATGAAATCTTATAAAGAGAAAAAATTGTCCAAATCTAACTTTTTAAATCAAATGAACCATTCATTCAACATCACATCCAGAATCAGATGCTGCCCCAAACAGATTAATGAATGTTTACATATCCCATCAAGGACAAAAGGTGACCTTAAACAAGAAAGCATGTCACAAGACACAGAGATCCCAAGACGGAAGGGGAAGAAAAGGGGGTGAGGAAAGGAAGAGACCTCAGGAGCTTCTTTATAAATCCTAGGCCAAAAGGGTGGGGAGAAAAAGAGGAAGGAAGAGATTAAATCATGTTTGTATATATTCAGAAAGCTTACAGATTACATAGAGAATCCTCCACCCACAAAATCCTCTCACATCAGTCAACGTTTGAGCTGATGCACACCCTTCTTAAACAACACGAGGGTGGCCCAACTTCTGTTCAGATCACAAAGCTTTAGTGAACTAGAAAATTAAAAAACAAACCAAAAAAAAGTGTCATGAAGAAATAGCACTGTTACTGAAGAACATGAAAAAGGTTTGCTCTGAGAAAACAGACAGCCAATGTCCTATGGACTGACTGATAGAAATTGCCAAATGCATGGGTCTAACTGGAAGATTCTGATGACAGGCAACAGGAGGAAGTTCCAAATGGGATATTCCCTTCAGTTTCAAGACCATTTGGGGTACAGCTTTTTGGTAGGATAACCACACTTCCCAAGCACTGTGCTGACCAAGGGAGAAGGGAAGTTAACAGACAAGAGAACCACCCTGCCAAGAAGATGCTCACAGGAAGTAGGTGTTTCCTGCAAGTCCAGTGACACCCAAACTCTCCTGAGGATGGAAGCGTCTGAGGCATTGGGCCAGGAGTCGCAAGCAATCCCCTTGCAAAGCTTCAGTGACGTGAAGAGACCAGACGGGAGGAGGAACAGGCCAGGTCCCAGTGAGTGGTCCTCCCAAAGGGAAATGGAGGCTCAGGGAAGGAGGACAGCATGGCCACCAAAAGGCACCTAGGGCAGCTTCAAAAGGGAGTGGCCATTTGAGAGGATTTAAAGGATAAGGCAGAACTATTGGGCACACAGGAAACAGCCCAAGCAAAAGTTATCCAAGTAAGACAGCAGAGGGCACCCCCCAAAAAGTATAATTCAACTGGGAAGCAGTAGAGCCTAGCTAGAGGTGGCGCACCTGAGCAGGTGCACCCTGCTCAGAGCTGCACTCTCTAGAAGCCAGAGGCTGGACACTAATGCACTCGTTACTGCCAGGTGGCACCTCCCCAAACCTACTTCCACTAAAACTGTCCCTGCTACAGGAGTCAGTGACCTTTCACCCAAATCTACATGCCTATCTTGTGATGCCCACATTCTAGTACATGATTTCTGTGGTTCATGAGATGGTGCTGGCCATTTATTCTTAAAAAGTAACTTGAACTCCTTAAAAGTTAAACACGGGGCCAGGCGCGGTGGCTCACGCCTGTAATCCTAGCACTCTGGGAGGCTGAGGCGGGCGGATTGCTCGAGGTCAGGAGTTCAAAACCAGCCTGGGCAAGAGCGAGACCCCATCTCTACTAAAAACTAAAGAAATTAATTGGCCAACTAATATATATAGAAAAAATTAGCTGGGCATGGTGGCACATGCTTGTAGTCCCAGCCACTGGGGAGGCTGAGGCAGTAGGATTGCTTGAGGTCAGAAGTTTGAGGTTGCTGTGAGCTAGGCTGACGCCATGGCACTCACTCTAGCTTGGGCAACAAAGCGAGACTCTGTCTCAAAAAAAAAAAGTTAAACACGGAATTGTCATAGGACCCGGCAAGACCCAAATGGATTAAAAGTGGGTACTCAAATACACATACATGCTCATTCATAGCAGCTGTATTCAAGATAGCCAAAAGATGAAAACAGCCCAACAATAGATGAATGAATAAACAAACAGTGGTTTATCTATACAATGGAATATTCTTCAGTCATAAAAAGGGATGCAGTACATGCCACAATGTAGATGAACCATGAAAATGCTAAGTAAAAGAAGCCAAACACAAAAGGTCACTTACTATATGATACTATTTATAGAAAATATCCAAAAGAGATAAATCCATGGAGAAGGACACAGATTGCTGATTGCCAGGAGCTGGGAGTAATGGGGAGAAACTGCTTCATGAGTAAGAAGTTTTACTTTGGAGTGATGGAAATGTTTTGAAACTATATAGAGGTGGTGGCTATACAACATTGTGAATACAATAAATGCCACTATATTGTTCATTTTAAAATGTATAATTTTGTTATGTAAATTTCACCTCAAATTACTTTTAAAAAGAAAAGCACCTTGAAACTTTCTCTTCCTCTGCATTTCAGAATGTCTTAGTCCTGGCTCTCCTTTTCCCACCCCAGCCCTTCCTTCTCAGCATCTTCAGTGGTTGCCCTTACTTCTCTGGCCTTGAGTTCTGCCTATTCCCTCCCTGCCATGAATGCTCCACACCCCCTTTCTTCCCTCCAAGTACATGCACACTCCAGCCCTCTGCCTAGAGTGCTAAAATTGATCTCCCCTGCCATCCCTTCACCTGGATAACTACTTAGCTGCCAATAAAGTCAGGCTCAAACACCTCCTTGGACATGAAATGCTCCCGAGCTCCCCTGAAGGGGAACACTGGGCCTGCTCTCTGCTTCCAAGTCTCCCTATTCTTTATGGCAGCTCTACCACACCACAGTATGACGATCTATTTGTGGGTTTGCCTCTGTTACCAGTGTCAGCCACGTGGCCACAGACCATGGTTTACCTAGCCCCAAATTTCCAAGCTCTAGCACTACACCCAGCACAAAGCAGGTGCTCTGTAAACATGTGTTAAAGAAAGAAAAACGTCAAAGACTGAATAAGGACAATAGTAATCAGAAGGGAAAATAAGAGATAAAAGGCAGAGCTAAAACCCCTGAACCTTTTTCAGAGGTAGCTATAGCAACAGAAACAAAACAAAACAAAAGGAAACTACCCTGGACCTGGTGAGTGAGTGCAGATGGATACTGGAGAGAGGAGGATTCCCCAGCAATGACTTAGAAATTGAATCTGGACAACTGGGGAAAACCTCGGTATCACTCCCCACAAAAGAGAAGTGCAGAGGAAACAGCAGCTCTGGGCACATCATCACCTGTAGGGAAGGCTGTCTTCAAGCTGCAAAGAAAGTTCCTAAGGGCTCGGAGAGTGTGTATCAGAATTTCATTCTGCCCCCAGAGCCCAGTATGGTGCATGGCGCAGAGGAGTTTACCAGCTGTTTGTTTTCTATGAAAGACCGTCAGGACAGACTCTCCACGTTAGCCCAGCAAAGATGTTCGGAATCAGAGGTAAAAGTAGAACCCAATGTGAGGCCCCACGGGATTCAGAGCTCTCAGAACAGAAAAATACCCACTAAGCCAGGAGAAAGGTAAGAAAGACAGGACCTGAGACAGAGCCCATACTCCAGGGGCACGTGGTTACAAAGAGGCCTGCGCCCAGACATTATTTAGGTTGGAACAGGGATGGCAAATAGGTGGTGACCCATGGCCAGCTCTAGCCGACAGGGAGCAGTAGTGAAGAAATGCCGTGTTTGGAGAGAGGAAGGCAGTGGGGTCCGATTACACAGGGCCCTGTGAGGTCAGGATTTTATGTCACGTTCTGCCATTGGGGTAAATATTTGCTGTATTCTCCAATACCCAAGCTGACTATAAGAATGTCAAAACCCTTAAGGAAAGCCACGCTAACCTGTATAAAGGCGATAGCATTTTCCCGAGCGGCTGCGACCACCACGTCCTGCTCGTTGGTTGGCTGAAGCCTGGGACACTGGCACCACCACCAAGCATTCGATAGCCGTCCTGGGATTGTAGGCTCGGAGTTTCACAAAGCCACAGTCGATCACATACACGACACCGCTGATTGTAATGGAGGTTTCTGCCACATTGGTGGCCACTATCACCTAAGTTTCCGTGGAAAGAAGAGAAAGAAGTCATTCTATTCATTTACTTTTAATAAACTCTTAAAAATGCTAAAAGATCTAACAATATTTGCAACATTGTACAATCTGTGAGAGGCAGTCTGGTATATTAGAAAGAGGATGAGTTTCAGAGCCAGGGTAACCTGGGTTTGGAGTCTCCCTAATCATGTGAGGTCTCCCTGCACAAGTTACTCAACCTCCTGAGCATCATTTTCCTCACCTACATAATAGTATTTACCACCTCCCCCAGGGTTGCTGAAGGGATTAAATAAGACATATACATAAATTGATCAGAGTCTACTACTTGGCACACAGTAAATATTCAACAATGTTAGTTTTTCTCTTTTGCATAACCAAAGTAATCACCATCTTCATTTATTCATTCATATTCTAACTATTTTCAGAAGGTGTGAGCTTTGCCACCCACTGCTCAAGGTGCTGGAGATATATGATAGACAAGACAGATAAGGTCCCAGCTCTCCCAGAATTTACTCTGGCATGTTTGGGGTGGCAATGTGCTAAACATAAACAAGAATTTAATTTCAGACAGTGACAAATATTATAAAGAAAATTCGACCAGGTAATATGATGCAGCATACAATATGTATAATATATATTATAATATTGTAATAAAAGGGCATAGTAACAGTACATTTGGTTGGCCAGGGAAAGCCTCTCTGAAAGACGACTTTGAATGGAGACCTGAATAACAGGAAGCAGCAAACCCTACAGAGATCTAAGCAGAAAAAACAATTCAAAGGAAGGACAGCAGAGCAGCTAGAGTACAGAGTAAGTACCAGATGAGGTTGGGGAGGGAGGCAGAGACCAGATCATGTGTGGTCTCTGGGCCACTGTGAGATGTTTGCATTTTATTCCAAGTGTACTGGGAACTGCCCCCAAGGGTTTTAAGCAACAAAGGACATGTATTTATGGCACTTAGAAATTTTCTCAGGCACTTTACATTTTATAAATCATCTCATAAAAGTCATTTTATAAACGATCATTTTATAAAAATCTTCCTAGTATTTTTATGTAGTAGAGAGTTAAGATTTTATGCTATAAAATTATCTAAAAGTTATTATTTACATTCAACAACTACAAAAACTGAGACTAGAAATTAAATAACTCATGCCAGGGCACACAGCCAACTCCAGGGTGGAATTCAGGACTCCTGACTGGTTGGCTGCAATTAGTGTTTTTACTGGGCAGACTCGAGCTGCTCCATCCCAATGGCCAAGAGGCTGAGCACCTTCTTTCAAGTGGTCTGAAACTAGAAGTGGATCCGCAGACCATCCCTCATCTACTTTATTCTCTGCCACCTGTTGATAAACAGCTACAATATAAGCTGACATCAGGCTGGTTCTATGCAGTCCTCATGTAATGGAAGGAACAGCAGAGTCAGGCCTAGGGGTACAATGAGCAGTAAGAGGACTGGCTGCCTGCTGGCTCCTTCAAACTGACGCTTTCCACCACACCCTTCCCTACCCCAAGTTCAACGCTAAAGATTTCCACGCCACACCTTGAATTAATTGATTTAAACTTGGCTCTATAGGCAAACTGATACTTAAATGATTTAGACCATTCCTAGTAACTTATCTATTGTTCCTGACTGACCACAATCCACCAAAACAGTCCGGTGAGCCACGGCAATATTGTGTCATGGGAAATATTGGGTAGGCAGAAGAGAAACAAAGAGAAGTCACCTGCTCTGATAATTACTGTCAGAGTAACCCTTCTGTGGGGCGGGTTTAGAAATCTTTACCACACATTATTTATCATATGCTTTTAGATCTACTACACAGAAACATGAACCTAAAACTCTGAAAGAAACATTCCTGTTTAGCAAGTTTCACGTCAATTAAAAACAAAAATCTTTCCAACACATGGGAAGGATACCAAAGGGGCACTGATGTGATTACAAATGGTTGCAAATACTCATGGTCCTCAGGAGTCTCACCTTTCTGACACTGCGTGACACCCTTTCAAACACTTTCATTTGCTCAAAGGAAGGCAGTCCCGCATACATGGGGAGGACTCGGAGGTGTCTCTTCATCCCAGTGCGAGCTAATGCTCGAGCCTGCTCGATCAGCATAGATACAACAGTTTCTACCTCTTCCTAAAGACAGTGAACCAGGAATCAAAGAAACAGATTAATTTGACTATCATTTCATCATACTGAAAGAAAATGAAAGTTGGGATCAGGATTTTCATTTTGGTCAGATTCAAGAATTTCAATGTTATCATGTTCCACTCTGGGATGGTATTTAATCAAATGCTACTGAACAATGATGCAAAGTGGGGTAAAACTTTGTAACTAATATTAATTACTAAAAATCTATACTATCTGCAAGGAATAGTAGAGTTCCCAATAAACAAAAACAATGACTATTTTACTCAACTTACATGTGTGTGTCAAACAAGCATTTCATGCACATGGACAAGTTGTAGCAGATAAAATTGTTACATGCTTTCCCCAGAAAAGATTACAGCACAGTAGAAATGTTTGGCAGTGGAAAGAAAAGATTACAGCTGGAAGGTAGCTATGAACAGCGCTACCACCTTGAGCGCACAGTTGGGCTTGCTCAGTTGTTTTTCCTGTTACGTGGCCACTTGTCACCTCTAGGATGAGCTGTAAAGGTGTCACTGGGAAAAGAGGTGTGCATGCAGCAGCAACATGCATGCAGCAAAATGTACCTGATGCAATATTCCATTCTGGCAAACAATACAGCCCACTGACACAACTACCTAATTTATTTTGGAATCAGCTAATAAAGTTGAAATACATTTAATCCTTTGCAGATAGAACAGGCAGAAGATAAGGACTCCCTAACAACCCAGTTGGTAGACGAATGACATCAAGCCAAACAAGTGTTTACGCAATTAAGTAACCACAAAATACAATAAAATGTGAAATAAATGACTGAGTAAATTAGCAGGGCCTGTGTTATTTTTGGTGCTGCCTTAACATGCCCCATCACAGAGAGGTCCAGTGGAATTACCTGGCCAGTAAGAAATGCTAGTATGTCTCCATCGCCCTCTGTCTGGTGAATTTTCACCACCGTTTCCACAGTTGATTTGATGTAATCTGGAACAGGACTGAAAAGACATGGGATGAATTCATCAGTAGAATATTCTCATTAATTACAGATCAATTACCCTAATAATCTGGCACCAAAGCATCCAGAAAGCTAGTTTGGGCCTGCTCAGCAGGTAATTAGTACATGGATAAATAAAACAAATATTTACTTTTTTTTCTTTGTTAAAATGCAGCATTCAGGAATAATCCATAATTATATATAAACTATGATTCTCAGCTTTATGTACAAAGAAATAAAAATGATAAACCCATGCAAGTAGATGTGCTATCTTTAACATGCAAAGACACAGGGCCCCTGAAAAATCAGGGACTGTGGTCCTGGTGCTGAATCCCACACTCTTCCGGCCTGTTTTCCCTCCCAATCACTGGCAGCAGGTATGAGTCGGTGGACGGAGCTGGTGGGTGTGCTCTCTAGCCAGAACAACTCAGAAGTCAATCCACAACTCTCTGATTTATCAGCCATTGGACCAGACTCCTGGTCTTTGCTTGTGCGGTGACTGTGTACAGGAATTAGGATGGCTCCTTTCCTGCCCATGGGGCCTCTTCCCCTGTCCATGGGGGCTCCTCCCAATAAAGCCCAACCAGGCCTTCTCATCAAGGATGTAGAACTGAGAACCAAATCATCAAATCACCAGCACTGCTCCCACTGACAGGCCCCCTTGTAAATTCCAGTTCTGAGACCTACCAAGCTCCTCACCTACAACCTTTCACTATTTCGCTCTCTCCAGCTGAGCTACTGGCCACAGATTGAGGGAAATGTGCACATCAGTGTCAAGAGTTAAAACTAAATTCAGCAGTGATGCTGAGCAGGGTTTCTGAACATTCTAGATCAATGACAGGAGACACAAAACATGCTCCTCCTCAGCGCCTTAGAGAGTTGCGAGCAGATGCAGTTCCCTGTCAACCCATATTACAGGCAGAGTTTTCGAATCACCACCATTAAGAATTCAAGCATCATCAAACCTTTGCAGATAAAATATATCCACCGGGAATGTTCGCCCTTCCACTGTAAGGATCACACACGTATCCCTGGTTGGGTCACTGGTTTCATTTTGATTAAAGAAATCCCGAAATTTCTAAAAAAAAAAAAAGTAAAAAATAAAAATCAATTCTTCATTTCTCTCAGAAAAAGGGTTCATAGTAATTCATGGAAAGAAAGGTGTGATTCAAGTTTGATACAAGTTAAATCAGGCTGATGTGTAGCTCTAAGTGGAAAGCACAGATGTGCTCATATAGTTATCAGTTTATAAAGGAAACTTTTACTTCTGTGAACAGTAGGCCCCACTGTTACTGGTTTTAGGCCACTTGATGGCAGGGACAGTGTCTTCTCCATCTTCACATGCCCTACAGGAGTGAGCGCAACAGTCTGTATGGGGGAGGCATCAATTGTACACGTCCACAACACTCCCACATCTCCCTCTTGGGAGAAGTAGCTATTGGCAGTTTCTGCTGAGCAAGTGACCACATCAAATTCAATGGCACTTGACCAACAGAACTGCAGCCTGTGATAAGACCCAGACAGAGTGGGGAAGGAAATAACAGCAAAGATCCTCTCTTGGGGTATGTACGAGCCCCAGACACAGATCTCACCACTCGCCTCGCAGGGAAGGCACAGAATGAACAACAGGACAGGATGAGGGGAGAAATAGCCCCAGCTCCCCAGGGGCCCCACTGAATGTTGCTTAAGTCCCAGCATGCTCTGCATCCCAGCAAGGTATGACAAATTTCCTACTTTCTACCCACTTAAAAATTTACTTCCAGATCGGGAGCAGTGGCTCACGACTGTAATCCTAGCACTCTGGGAGGCTCACATGGGAGGAATGGTTGAGTCCAGTAGTTCAAAACCAGCCTGAGCAAGAGCAAGACCTCATCTCTACAAAAAATAGAAAAATTAGCTGGGTATGGTGGTACGTGCCAGTAGTCCCAGCTACTACATAGGCTGAGGCAGGAGGATCGCTTGAACCCAGGAGTTTGAGGTTGCAGTGAGCTATGATGATGCAAGTGCAGGTGACAGAACAAGACCCTGTCTCAAAAAAAAAATTACTTCTAGAAAGTCATCTCTATCAACTATAACTGCTGTAGGCAGAAATGAAACATGCTATTTTTTAAATCTCTATGCCACACCAAAAAACAATGACAGGCAATTGTGAGCAATTAATAAGTATGCATTAACAATGAATCTAAGAAAAGACTTGGACATTACAGTTTTCAACACAACAAAAACCCTTTAGAATACTTTTTAAATTTAATTTGACAATTTTAAGAGAGAGAGGGAGATGGAAAAGATAAGAAAATAGAGATGGCGCTGTGCAACTTGGCAATGGAGGAGGTAACTGGAGGTGAGGTCAGGTTTAGTCCTCAAAACAGCATTCCAGCAGATGTCAAAGGTGAAGGAGATAAGAATTAATTAAAGATGGCAACAAAGAAAATTTAACCCAAAAGTTAACGTGAGCAGACCTAAGACAACAGACTTCTACAGCCAATGAAAAGATCTGAGAAACCAGTCTGGGTACACACAGACATCTGTCTTAGCCATGCAGAACTTGTTCTCTCTCCAAGTTGTTCTGTACCCCTGAAACCAAGAGACAGGAGCCAGGGGCCAAGCCCTTTTCACACCTGACCCAGATTACAGGATTGGCCTCCTTACTGGCATCTCCACACCTCCTCTGGTCTCTTCAACACAGCACCCAGAATAATCTTTCTAGAACCCAAATATGATCGCACCATTACTCTATCTCACATCTTCCCAAGGCTCCCAACCAGACACAAGATGGAGTCTACCCTCCTTCACTTAGCCTATAAGGCCTTCCATCATCTGATCCCTGCCAACCCCTCCATCTTAATCTCCCACTGCTTCTCATTCAATCAAAATTCATTCGGCCCAAGCACCTGCTCTGTGCCAGACACTGCTTTAGGTGGAAGGGATAAAATAATGAGCAAGACAGTCAAAGTCCAATCTTCATGGAGCTTTCAATTTAGAGATGGGAGACACACAATAAACACTTAAATATGCATATAATGTCAGGTAGTGATGAGTGCTAAACAGAAGCAAAATGATCAGAGTAGCAGGACAGAGAGCAATAGGGGTGTTTTAGATAGGGTCATTAGGAATGGTCTCAAAGGAGATGACAAATGATCAAACCTGACATGAAGGGAGAGCCAAGAGAATGCCTAGGGGAAGAATGGTCTAGAAAAAAGGTCCCCCCAGAGCAAAAGCATGCTTGGGTTATTTTGAGGAACAGCAAGGGGACCAGCGGGGCTGAAGCATAGGGAGCACTGGAGAAAGTGGAAGGAGATGAAGTCAGAGAAGTAGCTTGGGGACAGATCACCCACATGAGCCTGGCAGGGAAGGTAAGACTTGAAGCTCCTAGAACAGATGATTTCATGCCCCTGTGGTTCTGTACATGCCTAAGGTCCATCTCCACTTCTGCACATCTAGAAAACTGCTATGCATCTTTCAAGCCCAGCTAGGATGTCATCTCCTCTAAGAAAGGTTCTGAGCACCCTCAGCTGGCTGGAGTTAAGGATGGCCAACCTCAGTACCCTGAACACACTGAACTGTAAACATCTATGTAGGTGTCCACCTCCCACAATGAGTCAGGGAGTGTACAAATCACCTGTAGCTAGCATGGTGCTTAGCATACATATATAGCAAGTGGCCAAAAATATTTATTGAGGTGAACTGCTACTTGAACTAAGATATTAGTCATCAAGAGAGAAAAATAATGTGAATTTAGCCATAAAAAATTTTAACATGGAAATTATTACCTATATACAGGGGAAATTTCAATTATACAGAAAAATCTAAATATATATGCTATAATCATAAATAAATTCAAGAAACATAGCCTCATACTAAAAAAAAAAAAAAAAGAAAAGAAACTCATGTATGGAGATAGTTGATATGTTGAGAAATAAGACAAGTAGGTAATTATGAACTCAATTAATTACAGACTAATTTCCACCCACAAGCTGAAATGGAGTAGCCTCTCATTATATGAAATCTAGGACATCAGATGGTCCCAAAAGGAAGGTAGGCCATCCTGCCAAAGATAAGCTCTTGCTACAGGTAACTTTGCAAAGGTATGTCCAACAATTCCAGTGTTTGTGGGAGTTGCAGGGGCAGGGGAGTGGGCGGCTGCTCTCACCTCTGCATCCAGAGTAGCCGAAGCCACAATCAATCGAAGATCTCCACGCTTTTTCTGAATCTAAAAAAAGAAGGCATTAGGAACAATGATAACAGTGCAATACTTATGGATAAAATAATTTGATATCTGAATTTACTTCAAAACAATCCAGCAAGTGTATTTTTTTTTTTGCTGGTGAGGGGGGGAACTTATAAATGAAACAAGACTAACCACAAATTAGTAACTGTTAAAATCACAGTTGAAAAGGGGTTCATTATATTAATCTTTCTAATTTTGTAAATGCATGGAATTTTCCAAAATAAAAAACTATTTTAAAAAAGTCATAGATCTGAAGGTCCAGTAACAAGAAAAAAAAAAATCATAGAAAGTATAAAGGAGCTTTAAAATCCAAATTTGAATTTACAGAGAATAAAACCATTTTTTTCTGATAGTTGGGTTTTGGGATAGTTTGAATCTGTGTATATACAATTAAAATACAAAAATGTATATCAAAACCAAACAATGAATGATAGCACCAAGACAGAAATATGGACAAAAGATATTAACAGTTACTCAAAGAAACAGATAATCAACATGCATAGGAGAAATGATCAAATTAAGCTATAGGAAAAATATATAACAAGTTTTTTTTTACTCTATCACATTGGCAAGGATTTATTTTTTTTAAAGCTAATACTCAGTGTTGGCAAATATTCGGTGACATAAGCCCTCTTATTATGTTGTTCCTCGAAAAGGTAATAACTTGGTGGGATATTTCCTCCTAAGTATCAAAAAGTTCTAAATATTTGGCCAAGGAATAAAATAATAATGACAATAATAACAGTGACAGCTAACAAGACTGAGTTATGTGCTATTCCAGAGTCCTTGCATACAGCTGTAGAGTGAACACTCTGCACAGAGATGCCCCTCTGAAGATGCTAGGGGCATCTGAAATCCAGCCCACCCCTCCCCCCTCACCTAGCTACAGATAGACGGGACATCTTTTTCTATTTTGCACCTCATAGTCTAGTTGTGATCCTATGCCTGGCACCATCCTAAGATTTTACATTATCTTATTTAAGCCTTAGAACAAATGATACAGAGCAGCTCTGCCCAGTAGAATGCTTTTCAGTGATGAAGAGGCTCCTTATCTGCACTGTGAAATGCAAAAGCCACTAGCCACATGTGGCTACAGAGCCCTTGAAATACAGGAAGTGTGACTGAGAAACTGAATTTTAAAATTTTATTCAACTTAAATCTAAATAGACATAGCTACAGATACAGAAACTACTATTAACCTCATTTTAGAGATGCATAAACTCAGCATTTGGAATTTGAACCCAGGCAGTCTAACCCAGAGCTCGTGCTCTTTATCCCCGTGTTCTACCACTTCTTTCTAGAGTTTTGTGATTGGGAATTTGTCAAAACAAACAACAAGAAGATACAGTAAGGGGGGCCTTTAAGGTGGAGAAGATTGGCCATGAGTTGTAATTGATGAAACCACATGATGGGTACTTGGGGGTCATTATACCTTTCCCTCTAGTCTGAGGTATGTTTGAAACCTTTATAATAAAAAGTTAAATTGAAGCTCAGACTTGTGGGGGGAGGGGGGACAAGGGCATTATTCAAAATCTTAAAATTTGTATCCCCATAATATGCTGAAATTTAAAAAAAAAAAGTTAAAAAAAAAAGAGAGAAAACCAAAATGGAACAGATTTAATTACAGAGGTGCTCACTGCAATAGTATTTAAAATATTTAAAATCTGGAAGCCATATAAATGGCTAACAGTAGAGGAAGAGTTAAATACTTTTATGGTAGATATGTGATTATATACCCATTAAAAATAATGTCTTTAGGCTGGGCACGGTGGCTCATGCCTGTAATCCTAGCACTCTGGGAGGCCAAGGCGGGTGGATTGCTCGAGGTCAGGAGTTCAAAACCAGCCTGAGCAAGAGCGAGACCCTGTCTCTACTATAAATAGAAAGAAATTAATTGGCCAACTAATATATATAGAAAAAATTAGCCGGGCATGGTGGCGCATGCCTGTAGTCCCAGCTACTCGGGAGGCTGAGGCAGAAGGATTGCTTGAGCCCAGGAGTTTGAGGTTGCTGTGAGCTAGGCTGACACCACGGCACTTACTCTAGCCAGGGCAACAAAGTGAGACTCTGTCTCAAAAAAAAAAAAAAAAAAAGTCTTCAAAAACATTTAATGACACAGGGAAATGATCTTGATATAATGTTAAGCAAAATATGCAGTATACAAATTCACACATATAATACAATCCCTATTATGTCAAAACGGATGCACATATATACACAGACACATAACACAGAAAAGAAAACAAAACATACAAACATTCTACCAGTGATTTTTTCTGAATGGGTAGGATTATTGATGATTTTAATTTTTTCCTTGGTATTTTGTTAGATTTTCCAAATTGCTACAATTACTTTCTTAATTAGGCAACAAAACAAAAACACACACACGAAAAGTTGGCAGTGAAGACATACCTTTTTTAGCAAGCCAATGGCTATGTCAGTGTACAAGGTCCTCTCATGAGCTTCGTCCAGCATGATGGCGCTAAGAATCAGAGGAAAGCTCTCCGTGAGCACCTAAACAAACAACCCCACGTAACATCATCTAGACCATCAAAGGGACTTCCGGGTATTTAGACCTCATGCAACCACCTTGTATCAAAAGTAAACCCAAATCACTCCTCTTTGACAATCAGGTAATTCTTAAGCTAATAAAACAGTGACATTAATATACCTTAATTTAAAAAATGGTATATTATTGCTATCTTTAAAGAGTTTTACCATCCACATTGAATTCCAATAGGATTTAGTACCTGATTTTAAATGACAACATAACCTATCACATAAAAATCAGAACAAGGCTCAACCACCAGAAGACTGTTAAGCTTTAGAGACAGTCAAAAAGGCAGGTGATCACAGCTGTGATGTATGTGTATTAGAAAGTCAAATGTGACATCCTCTCCCAGAATACCAGAGTCTGGGTGGGACGGCTTTAATGCTACAGTGATGGACAAAGACATACGAGGAGGGAGAAAGTGATAAATAATTATTTGGACTCCGCATATTATATTCAACAAAACACTGGCCAGTTAGTTCTCCACAGTCACCTTCAATCCTGGAATGTGATGGGCAAGACAAAAAGGACAAGTCAACAGACTTTAAATAATGACTGGGATTTTAATGTGTACATTTTTGACTGTCTGTAAGAGACTATCCTACCTAAATTCAGAGACAAACATCAAGGGTCCCAAAAGCCAAGGTCAAGAGAAACACTTTGGAGCAGCCGAACAGACATGAATCCCAGCAACTAACACAACTGCTTCTCAATCTGTGGACTGTGGAAACTTTAGGAAAGTTATCATAGCAAAAAAAACACATTTACCTATATTTTGTTAACAATGGATCAACCATCATTTCCCTGACCAGCATTCCATCAGTAAGAAACTAAAAAATAAAAACACAAAGTTTTAGAAATTATTTATATTGTATATTAATAAATTTTTTAAGTTCAAATACAACTTTGTATTGTTCAAGTACAACCTCTTCACCAGCATGTGTATAAGTCAATTCCCACAAAGGACTATGAGAAAATGCCCCATTATCAAGCAATGGAATTATTTACAAAAGACTTCAAACACAGGAGCCTCAGGTAGGGTTACAAATCTTTTAGCAGAATTTCACCTGCGTTTATTACATGAACATCAGCTAAGCCCCATTTCCTCTGGGCCTGCACCACCGATACTGTAAAACAGGCAATGAAGACAAACCTGTGTCTACCCAAAGGAATATCATGAGCCTTAGATAACTGTTCTTCAAAGAACATACTGAATTTGGTTTTGGGTGTTGTTACACCTACAAACAAATACAATATGTTTTGGTTTTTTGTTTATTTTTTTAAGTCAGAGTCTCACTCTGTTGCCTGGGCTAGAGTGCCGTGGCATCAACCTAGCTCACAGCAACCTCAAAGTCCCGGGCTAAAATGATCCTACTACCTCTGCCTCCCTAGTAGCTGGGACTACAGGTGCACGCCACCATGCCTGGCTAATTTTTTTATATTTTTAGTTGGCCAATTAATTTCTTTCTATTTTTTTTTTTAGTAGATATGGGTCAAACTCGCTCTTGCTCAAACTAGTTTCAAACTCCTGACCTTGAGCGATCCGCCTGCCTCGGCCTTCCAGAGTGCTAGGATTACAGGCATGAGCCACCACGCCTGGCCCAAATATAGTATGTTAACAAGGCTAAACATCTCCCTTGCGTGCTGTATCTTAAGTGTTTTTAATTTTTTGTTTTTAAGAATGGAATAGATTTCCATGTTTTTCTTGGACTTGGTACTAACTGCCACATACAGTGGAGTACACATAGGAGTAAAAGTGAGAACTTGCCACCAATGACAAAGCACCGGTCAAGAACTAAGTGCCTTAAAATTATAACCAAATAAGGCTGGGCGCAGTGGCTCACGTCTGTAATCCTAGCACTCCGGGAGACCGAGGCAGGTGGATTCTTTGAGCTTAGGAGTTCGAGACCAGCCTGAGCAAGAGTGAGACACCATTTCTACTAAAAATAGAAAGAAATTAGCAGGACAACTAAAAATATATAGAGAAAAAATTAGCCAGGCATGGTGGCGCATGCCTGTAGTCCCAGCTACTCAGGAGGCTGAGGCAGAAGGATCGCCTGAGCCGAGGAGTTTGAGGTTGCTGTGAACTGGGCTGATACCACAGCACTCTAGCCCGGGCAACAAAGTGAGACTCCATGCCAAAAAAAAAAAAATTATAACCAAATGGAATATATAAACCTTTTATGAAAGACTCAAAAAGAACCACAAAGTTATATAATCTACTGAAAATTATCTAGTTCATATATATTAGATGGTACAGAAGAATATTCCCTTTACCTTGTAAAATTAATGTCAAAGGTAACAAAATACAGAAATTTGGAAAACAGGGTCCATATTTTCATAAATCATTACACTGATTTATGTAATGATTCATTATCAATCAATCATACATTGATTCATTACATAAATCATCACTTAGCTCATCTGATTATTTTTAATTTTCCCGTTGTAAATTGAGAAGTAAATGAGATTCTAATAACCAATTTTCATTTCATCAAAGCATTTTCATTTACTGTTTTATTGCACTATATGATTAGACTTTGATTCTGGCATAATGGTATGTGGTAGACACCCTGTTGAGTTGATTATACACTGATTAGGGTTAATACTAATATTTTAATATTAGCAACTAGGTCAAAAACATATCTATAAAATCTTTTATCACGTAAAAATGGAAAGTTCTAAGTAATGAAAACGATATTTAGGAGTTCTATGCTTTATCAACATATACTACTATTTTCCTGTTCGTAAGTCTTTTACAGGCTTGTTTCTATAGTGAGATAGCTATCTGAGTTAGTGCAAAAACAATAAAACACACGTAAGAAAAGACAGCTTTGAGTCATCATTTGATCACCAATGGGCATATAACATTAGGCAAGTCATTCAACCTCCCAGGCTTTCAACCTCTTCATCTGTAGAACCAAGTGCTAAACCTTCTTCCAAGTTCCTTTCTGGGTGAAGATTCATAGACTCTCTGAAAGAGTTCTGTATCTCCCAGGAGACTAACTCCCCTGAGAACCAGGATGATTTCTGATACACTTTCTGTCATGGTACCAGTATCTTGTATAACAGTGAGAGGTATTTTAAATTCCCCCAAAATAATCTTCTGTATTTACACTCGGAAAAGCAGCTTGAGAACTTCACCTTAATTCTTGTAGCCAGCAGGTCGGTGCAGTCATCAAAGCGAATGCAGTAGCCCACCTCATGGCCCAGCACTGCACCCCTTTCCTCAGCCACTCTCCCTGCAACCTTTGGGAAGAAAGATCATGCTGAAAATAGAGACATAGAAATTACTGCACAGAGCACACACTATGGAAAATCTAAAGGTCATTTACTTTTTAAATACAGTAGTTTGTGAACATAGTAAAAAACGAGAAGAAAAGGGGCAGGTTATAAGAGAAAAAGCATGATATAAGTTTTGTTAATAACTCATACATTTATGTATCGCAGTTCATTCTATAATAGTCTTGGAGCAACATATAAGAACATACATAATAAAAAAGAAATCACTTAAAGATGTTACAGATAAAGATTAAAGAAATTATAAATAAAATATCAAGGCCAATAAGGAAAATTTAAAAACATAGATATGCCAAAGTTATTAAAGTTCAGCCACAAGTTCAGCTCTAAATTTGGTGGTGAAAGCAAAAAGGCAAGTAAAAAAAATAAAATTCACCCTATTCTTCAAGAAAGAGCACACCAACCAGCAACAACTTTTCATCTCCATGCCTTAAAACAAAGCCTATTACACTGGACCACGAAAGCAAGAGAACAGGAATGATCAAATTCAACACTGGGCCAAGTTTATTTTCTCTTTGGAGACAAAAGGATAATGCTTCAAGAGCCAGACACTTAAAACAATTCACACCAGTGTCCCAGCTACCAAAACCACTAAAAGGAGTAAAGACTTGCTTGGAAAAAAGGGGCAGATGAGTGCATGAGAAGATTAATAAAGGATCCAAGCTAACATAATAAAGTAAAAGTAGAAGACAACATCAATAATATATTATGAAGACCATAAATTCTATCCACAGATAGAATTTCACCCACCAATATATGACAAATTAAATGTGAGTGTAGGAAAGAGAAAAGAATCCAATGACAGAATCCCTGCACTCCTCCAAAAGGGCCAATCAAAGGGTATTAACTTATTAATAGAAAACATTTGAGGCCAGACGTAGTGGCTCATGCCTATAATCCTAGCACTCTGAGAGGCCAAGGCAGGAGGATTGCTAGAGGTCAAGAGTTTAAGACCAACCTGAACAAGAGTAAGACCCTGTCTCTACCAAAAATAGAAAAAATTAGCTGAGTGTTGTAGCACATGTCTGCAGTTCCAGCTACTCATGAGGATGAGGCAGGAGGATCATCCCCTTGAGCCCAGGAGTTTGAGGTTGCAGTGAGCTAAGATCATGCCATTACACTCTACCCAGGATGACAGAGCCAGACTCAGTCTCAAAAAAAAAAAAAAAAAAAAAAAAGAAAGAAAGAAAAGAAAATACTTGAAATAATAAATAAGCATAAAAGTGGAAGAATAATAATGCTTATCATTTAGTTTAATTTAAAAGAAAATAGAGTTTAACATTCACTACATAAACTACCTAACTGGAAAAAAAAAAAACGAAGGGAAACAATATTAATAGAGGTTTCCCAGGGACCTGGCACACCAACCCTCATGGAAGGAAGGAGTTCAGTCTCTCTCTTTTCCAGGTGAGGCGACTGCCTCTCCCCTAACCCACCCACTTCCAGAGTCCTGAGTTTGGAATGTGGCTGGCACAGGAGGTATCCTGAGGCAGAGCTTACTGATCTAGCCATTCCACCCCAGCAGCTCCAGGCTTGGGAACGCAGAGGCTCCCTGCACTCAGCTTCTGACCAACTACAACCAGGCATTATCTCCTATCAGCGTTTAAGACACTGAAGAGCAGATGAGGATCAGAAGTGGCTCTGCCTAATAACTTGAAATCACAGATCTGGAAGGCCAAAACAGAATCAATCATCCACTGGCTGGTATATACCACACAGTCTTTCAAAATATCTTACGAAACCAGAAATTCATCCTCAACCCCAAAAACCAGCATTTCACCAGGACAGTGTTGTTATTGTTTCAATTTCAACTCTATACACTATGTTATAAATCTTGGAAAATGGTACAAATAGAGAATGTGTGCATAAAGATACTGGGAACTTACAGAAAAAATAGGCTTATAAGACTGAACATAAATAAACGAATCCTCTCCATAAAAATATAATCATTTTATGGGTCTATAAAGTAAAAGCCAAACCTGTTTATTCTTTTTTTTTCCCTCTCTTTATGAGACAGGGTCTTGTTCTGTGACTAGGACTACAGTACAATGATGTCATCATAGCTCACGGCAACCTCAAACTACTGCGCTCAAGCGATCCTCTTGCCTCGGCCTCCAAAGTAGCTGAGACTACAGGTAGGCACCACCACATCCAGCTAATTTTTCTATTTTTTGTAGAGACAGGGCCTCAGTCTTGCTCAGGCTGGTGACAAACTCCTGGTGTCAAGCCATCCTCCTGCCTCAGACACCCAAAGTGCTAGGATTACAGGTGTGAGCCACCATGCCCGGCCTTGTTTATTCTTATTCCTTCGATATTTGTATACATTTTCTATATAAAGTATATATGTTTATTTTCAAACTTTTTAAAAATTGTATCATTTATAAGCACACTAGGTCATATTCTATTGGCTTTTTTTCCCCCCGTTGCTAGAGGTTTCTCAGAATCTATTTGGCTTTTTAATAGATTTTTATCTCTATTGTTTAAATTCTGCTCCTCATTAATAACCTCATCAATTTGGCTGGACAAACATTATCTTTTTGACAGCCAGTCACTGAGCACCTACTCCTGGCAAGTACTGTGCTCTAAGCTTTCACAAATTGTAGCTTATTAAATATATACACAGCCCATGAGATAGGTAAGACATCCCCATATTTACAAATGAGGAAACTGAAATAAGACAGGCATTAGAGCTTGTTCTGAATCACAGGTCAAGAAGGGCCTGGTCTTGAAGCCAAACCTAGACCATGAGTCCGACAAACATACTCATGACTAACTGCTTCTTCACAGTGATCAAGCAATCGCTTATGCAACCTGTTTTTAGGCTCTGAGATTGTTCTCAGAGTGTAGTCTGCACACAAAGTACTTTCTGAGATGCAGCATTTCAAACTTGGCAGCTCTATTAATATTACATGGTTAATTTATACACTGTTCTTTCAAGAGAAAGCTTGTGGTTTCATGGAAGTTATCCATGGCTACAAATTTGAAGCTAAAATGCAAACTGATTAAGAGGTGGGATTCCAAACCACAAACAGGAAAAATTGCTCTAATTTTTAGGTAACTGAGTCACCTTTCAGTGACATAAAAGGTTAACTCTAGCATTGCAACATAGTTTCCAAACTGTTACCCCCATTTTCATACACACAGCGTGGCACACACAGACAGACCTTGTAAATGTTTATCAATAATTTCTAACTTCAACACCATTCTAAAATGGACTTCAGGAAAAAGGATTACACGATAATTAAAACTCCATACAGCTACATGTACTACTAGTCCTCTAGAAATAAGTATGTTTAAAGTAAAGCAACTTGAAACTCTACACAGGGTTTGTTTTCCAAAGAAAAAGTATTCTTTAGAGGAGCAAAATTATAAGCCCTACCCATATGTGTTGTGAAACTGTTTTTTTTTTTTTTTTTTTTTTTTTTGAGACAGAGTCTCACTTTGTAGACCAGGCGCGAGGGCGTGACCTGAGCTCACAGCCAGCTCACCAAAGAAAAGTTACCTGTAGCAAAGAGTAGCTGGGACTACAGGCATGCGCCACCATGCCCGGCTAATTTTTTCTATATATATATTAGTTGGCCAATTAGTTTCTTTCTATTTATAGTAGAGACGGGGTCTCGCTCTTGCTCAGGCTGGTTTTGAACTCCCGACCTCGAGCAATCCGCCCGCCTCGGCCTCCCAGAGAGCTAGGATTACAGGCGTGAGCCACCGCGCCCGGCCTGTGAAACTGTTTTGAAAAGTGAGGCTTGTGAATAGAAATGTAGTGCCCGAGTCACAATCCACTTAAAACTTGTAACAAATACAGACAAGTTAAAAAGTAAAAAAAAAAACCTCCATACAAAATAAAAACAGAGTTAATTTCTTGTCCAGGTAAAGATGGCAAAATAAGAGTACTTTTGCCCCCACTTCCTTCTCTCAAAGCTAATTTAAAACCAACAAAAGAATTTAAACATATTATCAACAATAAACTTCATCTTCAATGAAAGGAGACAGACACAAGCCCAAATAATACACCAGAAAGCACAGCGGCCAAACACTGTGAGGTCTGAATCTAGAAGGAAAGAGGCCCAGGCCTCCTCACAACAAGTGCAGACTACTGGCTACCTTAATATAAGTGTCACCACCCTAAAACGCAGGGCCACAATCCTTGTATTAAAAAGACAAGAAACAACAGTGTGTTCAGGCCAAGGAGACATAGGAAATGTCAGAACAGTGGCCCACCTTGATAGCAAAGAATCATAGGGGAGAGGATTAGAAGAAGGCAGGCAGGCAGGCAGCAAGTATCAAATTCCAAGTCAAAGTGCCAGAAGAATTTTATCCTGAACCATAAAGACCCCTCATATCACTACAGAGTGCACCACCAGATCCTCACCCTCATACCCCACTCAACGAAGGACGAAAAGAGCGTTGGGGGGCCATGCATTATCCAAACTAGCACAACCTCACAATCTTGCAGGGGCCAGTGGCCCCATTCAAAGATGAGTAATTATCACAAAAGTATTAACACAAGCCCATTGCATGAAAGCTGGGCAAGAAAGAAGGAATAAAAAGAGGAAAGGAACATGAACAAAAAAACAATTTAAAAGAAACTAGAAGTATTATCCAAAGAAACAGAAGTAGAATTCAGCCAAAGAAATCCTGTTTCAAAGAAATCAAAAAGTTAAGCTAAAAAGAGGTTAAGGGAAGAGATACAAAGTCAAAGCAGAATGAAGGAGAAACAAGATCTCAAATAAACAAGGCAGAAGACAGCCTGGGGAAGTCCTCCAAATCTCAGAGCTTAGATATGAAAGAAGCTAGAGGAAAGTTTTTCCCAAATTTCACAACAATCCCCCAAATTTACACATTGCTACAAATAACAAGTCACAAAGCTAAAGGAACTTCTCTACACCGTCAATAATAAAAAGTGAATTAACCATACTAGAGGAAAGAGTAAAATGTAACTCTACTGTCACTACAGGAAAATAATAGAAAATCACTGTCATGTGACAAGGTGATCAAGGAATGCATCCACAAATTTCAGAGAAATAAGGTTCACAGAAATGTTAGGCAGTTAATTGATAAAAATACTGTTGTTTTTTCTGGATTTTTTTCATGTTTGTGGCATTATCATCTTTTAAAATTTGAAATGTACTGTAATACCTCTTCTCATTCTAAATACACACTTCTCTATTAAAAAAAAAAAGAAAAAAATCATTCAAAGACAGGATTGAGAGACTCGGGTACAGATGTAAAGGAACAAAAATAGAATAAATTTTACTAAAAACAACCATGAACATTTTGGATAGGTTTGAAGAAACCCCACAAACTGGAGAGGAGCAGATGATCCAGAGATGGTGATAAATACTAAAAACAGACAAAGGAGAGCAAACATACACTTAACTGATGCTCTTAGAAAGGAGAATAAAATAAACAGAACAGAAATATATGCTAAGATATAACAGAGGAAAACCTGCCCAATATAAAGATCGATTTGAACCTGAAGATTAAGTGTTTTTCCATATTTAGAAAAAATCTGAGACAAAACAATCAGCATCAAGACATACCCTGGTGAAAAAGCAATCTTATAAGTATTCAACTAGAAAAAGTAAGGTAAGAAGGTGGGGAAGAAGCCCCGCTGAACCATAGACTTCCATACAGTGATCCTCAATGCTGAAAGGCAGTGAGGCAAAGTCTGCACAGTTCCCAGGGAAAGAGTGTGTAAATCAAGAATTTTAAATCAACAAAACCACAATCAAACATACTCAAGCATGTTAAAAAAAAATACTGAATGATAAAATTCAGCCAATCAAGAAATAAAATGAAATGTGTAATTCAGGTTGGCCAAACCATGGAAAATAATTAGTGATAAGCATTCAATCCATTTATACAGTAATTAAGGTTAAACAACTGTGGGGATTATGCTTACAAACATGTATCTTAAAATCTTGAAATGAAAATAACAGTACTATATCTACAAATGGAGGAAGAGTAGAAAGAAGAATATGTATGCTAATTTCTTCTTTCATAACAAGAAACTATACCATGTAGTTTGAAAGACATGTAACACCCTGGGGTTTTTTGTAATCTTTTTTCTTACTTTTTAAGCTTCAGTAAATTCTCTTGTGGTGAACAAACACTTGTCTAAAGTTTGGTAACTACTCTTGCTTCACTTCAGTTTCCTATTGTGTTAAATTCAACAAAAACAAATATATGGTTATGACCCCATTTTTATTAATAAAATTATTTATGTCCAGCCAGCCAACCATTCATCTTTACCTTTAAGAGAAGCTTGGAATGATGTTCACAAATATTCATGATGTTTTTGCTGGATGATGAAATTTTGGATTTTTTTAAATTTGTTTTTACTTCCTCAGCACTATTACTTAAAATGTTCACAATGTGCAGGTATCAGTTTTACAAAAACATTCAAATCATAGTTCTTTTTAAACTGAATAATTAAATTCTTAAAGAGCAACTTCTATCTATTTGGAGCTTTTAGGAAATGGAAAAAGTCACGGAAATAGAAGATATAGACAGAATGTTTGCAATACAAAAAGAAACTCACTGTAACAGCAGCCACTCTCCGAGGCTGGGTCACTCCCACTACTCTTCCTTCCGCGGTCCAGCCAGCTTCTGCAAGGTACTACAAACAAAATCACATCTAAGTATACATCTGATACCATTTCTCCAGAAACAATCTCCCCCAAGGTGCCCCAGCACTGTATTAAAATCACTGAAAAAGGAAATAGCAAAGTTCTTGTCCAAGTAAAATTTTGAAAACTGTTATACAGATGAAGGATCTGAGGCTTGGAAATGTTAGGTAGTTTACTTAAGTTCACATCAATGCTGATCAACAGAAGAACCAAGGCACAAATTTAGCATTATGAACCCCCGTTCCACAAAATTTCCATGTATTACAGATGCCTCACAGAACAAAAAATTATACATGGGCCACTCAGAATAGTGCTAAATCTGCAGAACAAACAATCTTAAAGTACATGCAGAGATAGCACAATGTAAATATCAATTATATAATATATTTTAGTCAAATTAAATAAAAAGTTAGATTCTATATATATGAATATATGCCATTAGATTATATTGACATATATCTAATTTTAGTAAATGTATTTATTTGATTTATTACTTATTTGATATACATTTATTTATTCAATTATATGCACTTAAAATCCAATATGAATAAAAGTAGTTATCAGAGTTACATATTTTTCTAAATGTCTAATTGTTTTACAATGACTATACACTATTTTGTTAATAGAAAAAAGATTTTAAAAGCTACTGCATGTATCTGCTCATTTGTTCAAAAGAAATAAAGGAAGGATAATACAGAAACTAAAGAAAACTGTTGTCTACAGGGAATGGGTGGGAAAGGGGCAGAAAGAAAGGGAAATGGAAACAGGGTGACAGAGATGAAGAAGGAGTGGAATGCTCCAAACAGATCTTTTCATGTAGCTCTGACTCTTAGAATCATAGTCATGTTTCCCATACTCTTTAAATATCCAAAAGACAAATAAAACAAACCAGAATGTGGAGAGAAACCAAGAGGAAATAAAACATTAACAAATGAGCCTTTCTGTATTACAAATGACTAACATAACCAAACTCACACTAAAGCCAGCGGAGAAGAAAAGAACTAATCTGAGTAATGATGGGACACAGTATCCTGACTGCATGCTTTAAGGCTACAGATAAAAAGAACTGTACATAAATGCTGTAATCTAGTTAGTAAATCTTAGTGAATACCCAAATAGGGGTATGAGTTTGCAATTCTGAAACTATTTTATGTGCATACTAGAATTAAATGAACTTGCAAATATATTGTAGATAATGAGGACTGAGTTTCTCACTGTTGATGAAAAGTTATAAATAAGGAAAAGCTAAAACGAGCCCTGTGGTATTGGATTGGAATCAGAAGTATCAGTATAATCACCTGATGTTTAATATAGAGAGAGGCAAACACAGATTTATAGATGCTTTCATATGTATGGGTTAATATTCATACATATATTTCCCAAGCCTGCTCACTGAGACTCATGGCAGTGATATCTCAGTAGCAATGAGCATGCTGGGATCCAGATCTTGATTCCTAAACACTGTTTTCCGATAAAAGGAGCCAGTGCTTGTTCTGGGAAAAGAGGACCCTGAAACAGCTTGTGGTGCTAGAAAGTATGGAAGTAGTCAAAAAAAGGATGGAGGCTTTTTTTTTTTTATATAAGAAAACAGAAGCTAAAACAAAGGAGCTCCTAATGATCAAAGATGAATGATTTGAGGAACAACAACAAAAAAATGATAATATTGAATTTTAACCCATAGTAAAAAATAAGTATCTATGAATCCATATTGACATTCACAAACAATCTAACAAATAAACAAATAGGGAAGAAAGGACAGTTCTTCTTGACAGAAGAGTCTATTGAATAAAGGGAGTGGGAAAGAGGAAAAAAGAAAACCATCACTGCTGCAGACAAGATGCTAAATTAGTAGGTGAAAGTTTGAAGAAAAACAGATTATTTGCAGACTGAAAGTATTTCCCTCATGATATATATCAACTGAAAAGGAAAGACAATAGCTTTGGAGGAAAACCTGGCACCTTAACCATGTGACCAAGGTTAACATCACCAGTGCAAGATACATCAACATCACAAACCCCTTGATAAGATGCAGTAAAGACACAATATCATCTCTGTGGTATTCTTGCCAAAAATGCATAAGCTCCTTCTAATCATAAGAAAACATGACATAAACCCAAATTTAGGGACATTCTACAAAATAAACACCCATTAATCTTTAAAAATGTCAAGATCCTGAAAGATGATGAAAGATTGAGTAACTCTCACAAACTGGAGGAGACAAGGGAGAAATAACTGAACGTAGAGTAGAATCTCGAACTAAAAATGAACATTAGCAGGAAAACCAATGAGATTTACGTAAGATCTGTAGTCTAGTCTTATACCCATGTTAACGTCCTGCTTTTGATTACTATACTAGAAGAAGTGGGGTGAAGGTATAAGGGAATTCTCTAATTTTTTTTTTGCAACTTTTCTATTAGTCTAAAAATAGTTAAAAATAAAGTTTAAAAATGACTGAAGAATTGTTTTAGAAAATGTTTTTCGCTATAAAAACTATAAAGTGGCTCTTGTATTAAACACACACATAAAATATCACCAACTACCCCATCAATGCAAATACAAAAACAGAACTACAAGGAAAATAGCTAAGATTCACAAGTACCTTACTAAGTTCCAGAAACTATGCTGAGTACCTTACAGGCACTGCCCCATTTATTTTATTTTTATTTATTTATTTCTGAGACAAGGTCTCATTCTGTCACCTGGGCTAGAGTGCAGTGGCATCATCACAGCTCACTGCAACCTCAAACTCCTGCTCCTGCCTCAGCCTCCTCAATAGCTGGAACTACAGGCACATGCCACCACAGCTGGCTAATATTTCCTATTTTTTGGTAGAGATGGCGGTCTGACTCTTGCTCAGGCTGGTCTTGAACTCCTGACCTGAAGCACTCCCCCCGCCTCAGCCTCCTAGAGTGCTAGGATTATAGTCGTGAGCCACTGCACCCAGCCCCATTGCCCCATTTAATCCTCACAAATCTTATAAGGAAGGCAACATACATCATTACCAATAATACACACATGAGAGAACAAAGAGGTCACATAACTTGTCCATGGAAATGGATAAAAATCTAAGTGCTAGAATTCAAGCTCAGTAAACCAAAGCCATGACACATAACTGGGACACAATCTATCATCCAAATTCAAACATGCATAGTTAATGTCTCAGTAATAGTGTTAAGTGAAAGAAAAATAATTTTCATAAAAATAAACAACCTATCCATGAAACTAACTACCTCAATACACTGTGAGTCAGACTTCTACTGCAAGCTGATGATTGCAGAGGGGTGGAAATTTAAAGATACTGAAAAAGCAGGTGTTGTGCTCATGTCAAGAGGCAGAGAGGGAGCTGGGCACAGTGGCTCATGCCTATAATCCTAGCACTCTGGAAGGCCGAGGCAGGAGGATTGCTTGAGGTCAGGAGTTCAAGACCAGCTTTAACAAGAGCAAGACTCCGTCTCTACCAAAAATAGAAAAAATTAGCCAGGAACTAAAAATAGAAACAAAAATTAGCTGGGCCTGTAGCAAGCACCTGTAGTCCCAGCTACTTGGGAGGCTGAGGCAGGAGGATTGATTGATCCCAAGAGTTTGAGGTTGCTATAAGCTAGGCTGACACCATGGCACTGTAGCCCGGGCAACAGAGCTGAACTGTCAAAACAAAACAAAACAAAAAACAGCACAGGGGTGTCATGGAGGAAGATCACTAAACCGTGGGCTAAATTCCACCTCAGTTCTCCACTCTTCAAGGACCTAAAAAATCTGATCTTTCTAGCTAAAAGATAGAATTAGGAAGAACTCCACCAATAATCAATAACAGTACTGATAAAAACTGTAGTTAAGAAGAGCTTGTTCTTATAGCCCATTTTTTTGACAGAGTAAAAAATATCATCTAGGTTCCACATACAGTTTGTGGAATTTTAAAACTAGTAAGTCTTTGGTGCTTTAGCATGCTGTACTTTTCCAAGGAAAGATACTCTATAAATCCAGCAAAATAGTTTACTGAGAAAAACCTGCTTCATATACTTGCTGTAACCTTAAGTTCTCAGCCTTTCCAATCTTCCTAGACCATAACTCAAATTTAGCTTCACAGTAAGCTGGAAACAGTGACTGTCCCAGAGAAGGGAAATGGAATGGCCAGGAGAAAAGGGAATAATCCTCCACAGGAGGGGTAGCAAATATTTGGGCCACTAATACAATCTATCACGGTGATCTAGTCATTGTCAACAGCAAAGCTTAGGAGATTCACTCTCCACCATTCATTCCTTTGTTCTTTTTAAATTTTATACCACGTATTAACAAATACATTTCCTATTCAAAAAAAGTGCTTATAATAAAATACAATTCCATAAAATAATTAAATTCAAATGCACATGTGCTTTGAGCCAGTAATTCCATAACTACATTTATTCTATAAATACACCTACATGCGTACAAGCTAATATATCTGCAAACTGACTCACTGCATCATCATGACAATACAAAAGTGGAAACAACCTAAATGTCCACCACTGAGAATTGGTAAAATAAACTATGTACACATACTGGAACCTTTGGAACTGAATAAAGAATGATACTGATGCATTATGTAAAAAAAAAAAAAAAAAGACAAGGTGTGGAGGCATCACACTACCTGATTTTCAAAATATACAACAAAGGTATAGTAACCAAATAGCATGGTATTGGCATAAAAACAGACACATAGACCAGTGGAACAAAAAAGAGAACCCAGAAATAAATCCATGCATGTACAGCCAACTGCACATTGAAAAAAGGACAGTTTCTGTAATAAATGGTGCTGGGAAAACTGGATATCCACATGCAGAAAAATAAAACTAAATCCCTATCTCTCACCCTATACAAAAATCAAAATGAATTAAAGACATAAATGTAAGGTGCTCAAAACTATGAAACTACTAGAAAAAAACAGGGGAAATGCTTCACAACATTGATCTGAGCAAGGATTCTCTGGATAAGACTTCAAAAGCATAGGCAACAGGCCAGGTGCGGCGGCTCATGCCTGTAATCCTAGCACTCTGGGAGGCAGAGGTGGGTGGATTGCTCAAGGTCAGGAGTTCAAAACCAGCCTGAGCAAAAGAGAGACCCCGTTTCTACTATGAATAAAAAGAAATTAATTGGCCAACTAATATATATATATATAAAATTAGCTGGGCATGGTGGTGCATGCCTGTAGTTCCAGCTACTCGGGAGGCTGAGGCAGGAGGATCACTTGAGCCCAGGAGTTTGAGGTTGCTGTGAGCTAGGCTGACACTACAGCACTCACTCTAGCCTGGGCAACAAAGTGAGACTCTGTCTCTCAAAAAAAAAGCATAGGCAACAAAAAGCAAAAATAGACAAATGGGATCATATCAAACTAAAAAGCTTCTGCACAGCAGAGAAAACAATCAACAGAGTGAAGAGATAATGTACAGAATGGAAGAAAATATATGCAAACTAAAAACCAGAATATGTTATATAAGGAACTCAAGCAACTCAATAGCAAAAAATAATCTAATTTAAAAATGGGCAAAAGACTTGAAAACAAACAAAAGAAAACCCTTCCTTCATTTGCTGCCGTATTACCCAACTAGGAAACTCAGCCCCTACTCTGTTTTCTCCTCACCATCTTTCCCCAAACTCAGCCCCCAGCAGGCTCTCCTTGTTCCCTGGTAGCTATGCCTCACTGGGGTAAACATCCAGACTGTTGTGATATAATTAGCATTGTTCCAAATGTGTGCTACCCATCCCTGTGGGAGGATTTATACATTGTTACCCTGTGCTATCTAGCCTGGCCATGTAACTTGCTTTGGTCAATGCTATATGAGCAGAAGGGCCACTTTGGGTCACACGTTTTAGGCACCATCTCAAGATTCTGCCATGTACCACAAGATCAACAAGTCCCACATGAAAGCTGCACCGTCAGCCTCAGTCCCGATGATGACACGGAGTAGCCTCAAAGCCAACCCAAGATGACCACATAATATGAGCAAGAAATAAACCTTTGTGTTTTTAAGCCACTGAGATTTTCAGGATCTTTGTTACCAGACACAGTTTATCCTAGGCTAACTAAACAACCACAAACAAATTCCAAAACAAACTAAAATTATGGACTATCACACGGCCTTTTACCTCTGTTCTACATTCCTAACCTGACTACTCTGCAGTGTCCTCACCTGTAAACTGTAATAATAGTACCTACCTCATACGGTCTTTGAGGATCTGACAGATGTGACAGATCATAGATCAACACATGTAAAGTGCTCATTTTATATAGCACTTATCACTGTTATTATATTATAATTACTTATTACTATTATTATAATTACTTGTTACTATGATTATTATATTACTCTCCAAATAATAATCACTGGCCCTTCTCCTGTGTCTCTCTGTAAGACTCAAGTAACTTGCTGGGCTCTTGATGCTCTCTGCACACTCAGATACCTTTTTCCTGCAGGCCACCACTTCCTCCACTGTCTGCATTTCAAAATGCATTTCTCTGCTAGGTCATTCCCTTCTGCCTACCCTTCCCTAACTGCACATTAGATCACCTGGGGTGACTTTTTAAAAATGCCTATGTCTGCGTCCCAACCTAAACTCATTATTCAGAATAAGAAGGGGGAAGCAGCCAAAGGAACTGAGAATCACACAGAGATGTTGTCATAGCCACAAGTCTGGACCAGGCAGTCAATAATATATCATTAATATGTTCAAAAATGCAAAGGGATTTCATCACCTTCCCCTGGGAATCTCTCACCGTAAAACCCTACCACTGGACTTGCTCTCTCCAAGACCAACAACCCAGGACTGAATCACGGCTCCTGTTCCCCACCCACTGCCACCTACCCACCTCTCCAGAAACCTCACTCCTCTTTTGCTTTCTCTGACCATGGACAGTCTCGTGGTTCTTCTACCATTTCCCTGGCTGCCAGTCTATTTCTTTTCTGCTCCTGACACCTAAATGTTGATGCCCCCAGGGCTTTGTCTTTTGTTCTCTTCTCATATCTTTCTGTTCCCTCTCACTCCTGCATGTATCAAGATGTTGTACCATCAACACGTGGACAATCCCATGTCCATATCCTCTACATGTGACCTCTGCCAAGTTTCAAACTCCCAATACAATTTTCATATTAGTAATGATGTCATTAAAGACCATCAATGATATAGGAAAAAAATAAGTCTATTTAAAAATCAAACACATTAATTTCAAAAAAAAAAATCTTTACTTTTCTATCATATTTAGCACTACCACTATTCTCCAAGGCAACATCCCTTTACCTTTGTCATCGTAAATATCCAACCAGTTTCTAATTTCTATAGACCCAAACTCTAAAATTGCTCTCATTCCTATCCTCTCCAGATTACCCCACTATCACCTCTTAATCAAGGACCCAATTATACCACTCTTCCCTAGACCACTGCAATAGCCTCCTATGGCCTGCCTCCTGCAGTTGCTAAGTCACCTTGTATTTGAATTTAAAAACTTCCCTAAAACTCAGCTCATGATGCTGTTTACATGCTCAGAAACCCTACAAGGATACAACCATTCTGATAATAGACATTATTTACTGAAGTTGAACATAGGATCCAGCAATGCTACTCTTAGGTACAGCCCAGCAGGAATATGTACATGTGTTCACCAAAGACAAGCAACAAGAATGTTCATAGCAACACTATTCATAACTAAAAACTGGAAAGAACTCAAATGTCAATCAACACTAGGAAGGATAAATAAACCATGGACTACCAATACAGTTGAATACTACATAGCAAGGATTGGCAAACACTTTTGTTTAAGAGCCAGATAGTAAATTTTTAAGCTCTGAAGGCCTTAGGGTCTCTGTTGCACTGCCCAAGTCTGTGTTATAGCATGAAAGCAGCTGTGGGCAATATGTCAATAAGCAAATCTGGCTGTGTGCCAGCGAGGTTTTCTTTGTCGAAACAGGCAGAGAGCTGGATTTGGGCCAAGAGCTGTAACCTGCTGTCCCCTGCTACACAGCAATGAGAATGAACAAAACCACAGCTATACTCAACAACAGAGAAAACTCTCACACATAACATTGAACAAAAAAAGCTATATTATTCCTTTATAAAGTTCAAAAATAGGCAAAACTAACCTATGCTGTCAGAAGCCAAAATAAGAGTTGCCTTTGTGCTTATGTCTGTGGGGAGGGAGAGAGAGGGCAGTTAGAGACAAGAAGGAAACACGAGAGGGCTTCCGGGATTCTGGGCTTGTTCTGTTTCTTGAACTGTGTGCTGGTAACACAGGTGTATTCACTTGTGAAAAATGTATCAAGATGTGCAATTATAACATAGGCACTTTTCTTGCACGTACTTTACACTTTAATAAAAATTAACATTAAAAAGGAAAGAAAAATCTCCAATGTCTCTCAACCCTGGTCACTTAATTATCAATCTTCACTCTTCAAGTCAAGGTTCTTAAGACACAGTCTGAACTCACCCTACACTTCTCCACCCCAGTATTTCTAACCACAATATTCACTGGCTTGAAACACCTTCCCAGTCAGCTCCCACTAATCAATCATTCAAGGTTGATTTCAAATGCCATTAACTTTCCAAGGTCTCTCCTCACCCTTCTTTCCACTCCTATCCACATATGATTTTTCTGATAAAAGAGGGTTCTTGCACAGCATTGCATAATTCTATAAAAGCCTATTTTTATTTACAACTATTAATGGTTCATTTTGGCTGGGCGTGGTGGATCATGCCTGTAATCCTAGCACTCTGGAAGGCCAGGGTGGGTGTATCGTTTGAGCTCAGGAGTTGGATACCAGCCTGAGCAAGAGCGAGATTCTGTCTCTACTAAAAAAATAGGAAGAAATTAGCTGGACAACTAAAAGAATATATAGAAAAAATTAGCCAGGTATGGTGGTGCATGCTTGTAGTCCCAGCTACTCAAGAGGTTGAGACAGTAGGATCACTTAAACCCAGGAGTTTGAGGTTGCTGTGAGCTAGACTGACGCCATGTCACGCTAGCCCGGGGAACAAAGTGAGACTCTGTCTCAAAAGAGAAAGAAGAAAAGAAAATGGTACATTTTGCCCTACCTCTTCGATTGTCATTATTTGGACAAAAACTACAAATTACATATCTTTGAATGAGTCCCCACTGTTCCTTACAGAGGACGGTTATTTTGGAATTATAATAAGCTAAGGACAAACTGTTACTCTAGTACTAATCAAACAACTGTAAGGCTCAAAAGTTTAATAAAAAATATCTAGTTGAGGTGAATATTTCCAGAGAGGAGACTTTAAAAATGCAAATGATAGTAAAGACAATTCTCAAATTACAAACTCTATCCAACCAAGTCTAAGTGTAAAGACACAGATTAAATATGTACTCACTTGAGGAATCTGCGTGCTTTTCCCACATCCCGTTTCTCCAACAATCACCACTGTCTGATAGTTTTCTATCAAGTATAAAATATGATTCCTAAGCTGAAAAAGAATAACCATACACTGTAAACAGCCATATATTGTCTCAAAAGACCTAAACAAATATATACAAACATTGCAAAATGAGCCGTTTCCAGAAGAAAGTAAATTTTAAAAAGAATATCGAAATGTATTTCTAACTCAACCATACTTAAACTCTGTTTTGCTTTATATCAATAACTTATACTCTTCTTCTTACCATTTTAATTTCATCAATGTTTCTCAACTTCCTGTTTTCTTTTCCTTTTTTTTTATTAGCCATTTCATTTATTCTATCTTATAAGCAAAGCTGGACAATAAAGAATAGTCAAAAAAGGCCAAAATTTAAATATTCAGGTAAACAATAATTTCTCTTGTACTTGAGCATCTACTACATGTCAGGTATCTTACTAAGTGCTCTACACGAATTACCTCATCCAGTCCTTATAACAATCCTGTGAGGTAGGAGCTATTAGTCCCATCTAACAGATAAGGAATCCGAATGATAAGGTGAGGTCACACAGCATGCAAATGGTGACACTTAGGTTTGAACTTTGAAGTCTAGCTGAGTCCAGACACTTCATCATGGCTGAAACCGTCCCTCGGAGGTAAGGAAGCAACAGTGAACCTACCACCTCATCTCCTGAGAGTCAAACCGTTAACATAATGAATGAGGTTAGTCACTTGAGAAAGAAATCCAGAGACCCTCAAGTGACTACAATGTTTGGAGCCACATAAAACTCCAATCAAGGCAATTTGGCTAAATCAAGAAGACTGCTGTTTCATATCCACTTCAAGAAAGAATATATTAATAGAAGAGGAATTATCAGCAGAGTCTAGACAAAGGAACTCCCTGAATGTAAAAACTTGGCACCCTTGGCTGGGCACAGTGGCTCCTGCCTGTAATCCTAGCTCTCTGGGAGGCCGAGGCAGGAGGATTGCTAGAGGTCAGGAGTTCAAAACCAGCCTGAGCAAGAGCGAGACCCCATCTCTACTATAAATAAAAACAAATTAATTGGCCAACTAATATATATAGAAAAAATTAGCCGGGCATGGTGACACATGCCTGTAGTCCCAGCTACTCGGGAGGCTGAAGCAGGATTGCTTGAGCCCAGGAGTTTGGAGTTGCTGTGAACTAGGCTGACACCACGGCACTCACTCTAGCCTGGGCAACAAAGCGAGACTCTGTCCCAAAAAAAAAAAAAAAAAAAAAAGAACTTGGCACCTTTTGCCCAGCACTGTCCAGGAGAAAGAGAAAGAGATGCAGGTACTGGTGACCACACCTACTCGGGTCATTCCAGACACATCTTGTGCAGCAGGGAGTTATTCATCACCCCTCATAGGAGGCTGTATGAAATGAATATCCTTCAAATTTATCTAATCTGCTTTTGGCTCTGCATTTCCTAATTTGGCTTCCCGTGTGGACTTGCCAATGGGGAGAAAGTGTGTCCATCAACTGTGTCCATCTGTACAGGAGAACTATGGTTCACCACAATCAAACATGTTCTGAATAAATTCTAGTTTATACTTCGGTCTCTTGTAGCTAAGCATACATCCATTTCATGAGCATTAATAAAATTGAGTATCTGGATGTACGCCCTTGCCACGCAGTAATGACACCAAAATCCTGTCACTGTCTCAGCAAAAGTGACAGTACTAACTGACCTCTTCAACTGAAACAACTTTATATTCCCAATTAATCTTGTTTAAAGGAATGTCTTTTAAAAGAAAGCAAAAATTAGTCATGCTGGTAATTTGTTGCAGCTGGAAACATAAAAACATTCACTGTGCTATTTTTTCTACTTTTCTGTATGTTTGAAATTGTCCATAATTGAAAGCAATGAAGGGAAAAAAGAATGTCATTCCTATTCTTCCAATTTTCCAATATGTAAGATCTAACTAAATAATCTAACAACTTTCAAGATTTTAAAAGATTAAAACACATATTTTCAAAAGAAATCCCTTAGGATTAAGGGTTTTTCTGTAATCACTGTGCTCTAAAAAAATCATTGAGAGCAATATGACATTATCCCCCCAGCGACAAGCACAAAGCTATTAGAGACACACAATTCACACCCAGACTGAACATGCTTATTCAACATACCTTGAACACCGGCAGCTTCTGCCTCTGCTGCTCTATTGAAAGGGCAGCATAAGGGTTGTAAACAACGGTGGTCCCAGAGTTTTCAGTGATACTTTGTCTCTCTTCAGAGATGCTGACACCTGGCCCCTCTGTACCTGCAGCAGAAATGTTTTTTCAGATTCTCTGATGCAGTGAACATAAAGAGGTGTAAAGGTTATAAATTTTCAAAGACGAAGAAGCAATGCTGTTTTTTTTTTAAATCTCAAACTACTAAAAGATATTCAACTTTAACTTTAAGAAAGCATCTAGAAAAGTACCTATCAGAACACAAAACTCTTCCCTAAAAGCTTCACTGCAGTGTCAAGAACAAACGAGATGGCAGTCTCACTGGGCTCCAAATTGGTCATCCAAAACTGTATATTACAGATTACAGTGTCTGTAGTTCTGGTTTCTATGCCCACATTCTTATTGAATTCTTAACAGAAGTGAAAGAAACATAGTAGGAACTAGCTGAGGCAAAAGGATGAATCCTGTTACTGTAGGAGGGCAACAAGGCTCAGAGACGACAGCACGTGGGGACTCAAAGCAGCCATGGCTTTCTCCTTCTCTCATCTTAACACCTCTTGCAGGTTCCTTTCACTCCCTTAGGTTGGCTTCTCTATAGGAGCTGGAAATGAGGCTGCTGGCAGAGCCAGAGCTCAAGCTCACACCTCCTCTACCAATCATTCATTAACTCACCCAGCAAAGATGGACTGAGGACCCACTCTGTGCCAGACACTACTTTAAATGCTGGAAATACAGCAGTGAGCAATACAGATACTGGCCCAAACCTCTTAGTAGAATGTAACAGTGCATGAAGTGGTCATAAATGTTATGGAGAGAAATAAAGAAACTGCAAGCGAGACTGGGAGTCCCAGGTGTGTGTTGTGTATGAGGGTAGGGGAGGCTCTTTTATACTGTACAGTCAGGGACTGGCTTCTTCTCCAGCTTAGATCCAATGTCCACTCTGATCCAGTCAACCATGACAGCAGAGTGGGACGCAGTGAATGGCAGCCCCACTGGAACCACAGAGTCTGAGTGGTTCGATGGAAAATTCTATTCCCAGAAGCCACCCTGCTGAGCAGACTAAATACAGATAACCACCACAGCTTCTTGCTAACAACGATGACAAACTGGTGCTCAGAATGGTGAAGAACAGGGAAGGCTTATCTCATCATGAAAACCTGTTGAAGGTACCATAGACTTTTAGCCTGAAAAGGAAAAAGTCTCAGGAGAAAAATGGGTTCAAAATTTAGGATAAGCTTCCATGACTTTTCATACCGATTTGTTTGTATGGTCCTAGGACAGAACTAGGAGTAAAAAGCAAATGACACAAGGTTCAGAATCAACTCAACAAAAGGAAGAAATTTCTAAAAGGTAGAGCTGTTCAACACTGGATTATGCTGCCTTATCAATAAAAATCCTCCGTAGAAGTTCAATAATGTGCTGTACAGCCTCCTAGTGGGGGCACTACATGGATAATTACCAAAAACTACCATCGCCCCAGTCTTCTTAACTCAGAATCTGTGAAAGCACTGGGGCTTTATGACAAGAATATTCAGCTCTGTGATTTATTTTTGCATTTTTTCAGGGGTCCCAGATCCCTTCAACAATCTGATAAAGGCTATGAACTGCCTCTCCTCAAAAATGCACCAGAATATAATATACCAGAATATAAAATGCTGGGGGTCCATGCACTCCCTAGAGCTAAGTTAAGCATCACTGCTTTAGATCTCTGACCCTTTTCCATTTACTTCCAGGAATAAAGTTGTGTTCCAGAGGTTCAAGATTGCCAAAAATCAGTAAGTGGGGCACTGCTGTAATGCTTTTGCCAAAATGTTGACCTTCCTTTCAACAAGATAAAAGATAGAACAGGACCTGGAACAAAGCCTGTACTCAAAGAAGCAGGTTCCCTTTCCTTTCTTCCTTTATTATCACTACATCTTTTTTTTTTTTTTTTTTTTTTGAGACAGAGTCTCACTCCATCACCCTGGGTAGAATGCAAGCTCAAACTGCTGAGCTCAAGCAATCTTCCTGCCTCAGCCTCCTAAGTGGCTGGGACTATAGGTGGATGCCACCACACCCAGCTAATTTTTTCTATTTTTGGTAGAGACGGGGTCTCGCTCTTGCAAACTCCTGAGCTCAAGTGATCCTCCCACCTCAGCCTCTCAGAGTGCTAGGATTACAGGTGTGAGCCACCACGCCTGGCCTCTCATTACATCTTAATTTCTTGTAATCTTTACCCAAGAAAACTATTGCAAACACTTTATCCTCTTCTGCTGTGTTTTTGTCCTGAATGCCCTCCTTTCCAGACCACACTGTAAGCCTTCACATTCTCTCTAGAACATTTTAACACTGCTCCTACAAGGTCATTTATTTCCTTCCACATCAGGGTTAAAATCCACCCGTGGCTGGGGGAGGGGGGTCTTCTTTACTACCCCCTCACTCCCATGTCTCTAACCTATAGCCCAGTCTATCTCAGCATATTCCATTATGAGCTCTTTTACAAGAGCTACTGTCAGTCAATAAAGAGCATATCTTCTCTTTACAAAAGATTTCATTCAGCCAAACCAGAACATCAGGGCTGCTTTCCCTCTACAAATATCCCACAGCCCACTCTGGCTGCTTATGCTTGTTTTTCCTTCAGAGTATATGCTCTGTGTTTAAGGGAGTAACAACTTTGTGATTTTTAGTAAGTAGCAGTCAAGATGGGGACCACAGTCTGACTCTAGAGCCCATAATCTTTACCACCTTATTCTGCCTCATTTATTGAACTGAGAGAGAAAGAGCACCCTGAGAGGAGATCCCTGGTCATCTGGAATAGAACTCTTCGAGTAATTCCACACTCTTTAGCCAGAACAGTACTCTACGTCTGATTTTCAACAATTCATTCAGGCCTTTAGTATACTTAACATTTTCACCTGTTACTAAAGGCTTGAATAAATAAAAGATATCTCATTACTTGATGAAATCTTAGTTTGGGCTGCAAATAAAACTCAGGATGGATAACAGGCCAATGACTTAAAATGCAGAATCATAAAACTGTTACTAAGTCACAAACTACAGATTTTTTTAAAAAAATTAAGTACATCTCTTGTTAGGGTTTATCACTCACATCACATATGCATGGTGGGAATTTCAGGGAACCACTCTAAAACACCCTTTAAAAGCTTTCCTTATATTACATTCTCTGTGTCATATCATTTTTGCTGCAATATACTTTGCACATCCAGACCTGCAGAGGTGCAGGTGGTGGAGAAAAAAACAAGCTGGTAACTGTTAAGAAACTTGGTTTTCTAACAAGAAACTGATGGATGGGGAAGAAGTAATGCGTCTAGCGTGGTATGGCATACACTCATTCAATAAAAATACCAAAACAAGCAAAGCATTTTGTGATTGTGATTCATGTTAGTCTGCAAGAGAGGAAGTGGGTGGCAGGTAACATGAAGGAGAATGTTCACTTTCAGGTAGATATTCGGGGTGGACAAGAATTACTCTAAAAGAAAATACTCTGTCTTTTTTAATGAGCACTTTACTCTAAGTCAGATAACGCGTTGTGCCCACAGGATAGATGTTGTTATTCTGCCCACCTTACAGGTGAAGAGACTTGCCCAAGGTTACCCTACTACTATAATACCGGAGACGAAAATTCGAATCCCGGTAGTCTGACTCCACAGTTTGAGCTCCCAAGCCCTGAGCAGCATCACCTGTCGGGCCCCAGTGCAGCCCCAGGGAGGTAACAAGACGTGAGGGCATTAGAATTCCCCATCTTGCAAAGTGGGCAGGACAAGTATCAGTAACGAGATAAACGAGGCCCGAGGAGGCTGTGAGATTTGAGCAAGGTCACACAGAGTTTCCGCCGAGGCGAGAGAAGGGTCCCCGAATCCCTCAGGACCTCTGTGGGGGCCTGAGACGCACAGTCCACCCGCACAGAGACTGCAGTGCTTAGCTCGCCGAGGTCAGGACTGACAGCAAGTCCGCAGGCCCCAGGGCCCCGACTGCTGCGCCAAGATCGAAGTCAGGCCGCCGCATCTGCCCAGCGTTCCTCCAAAGGCCTTACCCGGTCGCCAGAACTTCACGGGTCCCACGGGCGCAGCCATGCTGGGGTGAAAGGTCACGAAGAAGGCTCCACCCCGCAATCGCGCGCGAGCACGCTGGGGCCCAGGGGGCGTGGCCCGAGAGAAGCCTCTGCCTAGGCAGATCCGGCAGGGTGGCGGCCACGCCCCCATAGTCTCCGCCCTCTGAACCACGTGACCTACGACGCGTCCCTGGAGGGCGCTCTGGCCACGCCCCAAGCCCACGTGACCCCGCCCCGCCATATTGAAGCGAAGGGCGTGATTTTGTGCGTGTCTTTAGCGTTGTGGGTCTGTGTTGGCTGGGGGCCTCCTAGGGAGCGTGTAGTCGCCGGAGTGGCGGCTACACGCTTGCGGAAGGGCGGCCTTTGGGAGAGCACCGTGGGCGTGAGAGTCTTGCCGCTGCCAGCGGGGCATCGTACACGCAGTGGGCGTTGAGGCAGTGCTACTTGGCTTAACTACGAAATATAGTTACAGGCCATCCTACCTTTGCTACTTGTCTTTTAGTCTCCTCATTTTCAGATTGACGGGCAATAACAGTAGCTACGTCGTTATTTTGATGATTCAGTAATTACTGGGAAACCAGGTACTGCGGTTTCAGCCCCTTCGCGGAGCTTTTGTCCACGCTGGGAGTGGGGGTGTATAGTAAATGAATAAATGCTTGATAGACAGCAGAGTTTACTGTTATCAGCCAATAAAGCAATGTGAAATGGTATGGGAGCCTTCAAGGACCTTGAGCGCAATGCCGAAAAATGGGAGCAGGGGTTGGAAGAAGAGACTAGAAATGGGCAGATCAGTTAGGGCAGGGCACTAACTCGGCGTTTCCGACAGTCAGATGCTCATAAATCAAATTCTTGTTAAAAATACAGATTCTAGGCTCGGATTCAACCTCGAATCAATCTCCAGGGGCATGGCCTGGGAACCTGCATTTTAAGAAGCTTCCAGATTTCTTATATCAACAGCTTGGGAAGATTCCACTCATTCAAAGGAGAGTTAATGAGGGCAAATGAGCTCAAGGGGAGGAAGTACTTTATAGGCAGGCAACTAATTGGAAGGAAGTGAAAGACTTAAGAATCTTTGTATTTTTAAAGTTATGAAGAAAATTCTGAATTCTTAAAGAGACATGGCAGCTATGGCATGTGATGACTAAACTCTGATCTTTTTCTTTTGCCCAAATCATTTTTAAGGGGGCCTGGTGAGTCTCACCTACAAATGGTAAAATCTCAGTAAAACTGATTCCAGTACACCATCACCTGAAAGTCAGAGGACCCTTATTTTAACTCAAGCATTGCTTTCTGCTGATGCCTGCCTGGTCTTTTGGACAAAACCTAACTCTTTCAGCCAGTTGTCAACTAAAGAATCCCTAAATCCACGTGTGACTTGTAAACCCCTGCTTTGAGATGTCCTGCCTTTTGGGGCCAAACAAATGTAAGCATTCCATGTATTGATTTATGATTTTACCTGTAATCCTTGTCTCCCTGAAATGTATAAAAACCAAACTCTAACCCAGCCACAGCGAATCCACTTGCTCAAGGCTTCAGTGTCTCAGGGCCATGGTTCTCAAATTTGGCTCAGAATAAACCTATTTAAATTATTTTAGAGTTTGGCTTCTTTTCTGTTGACACAAGTAGGGGCTCTGGAGACAAGCAACCCTGACTCGGACTGCTGACTTTGCCATTTCCTAGCTCCTAGCTAACGTTTAACCTTAGTTGTAAAATGAGGTTTTAAAAAGGTATTCAAAGAGATGACATGTAAAGTACCTAACAGGATGCCAACATGTAGCAGGCAATCAGTGTCAGGTCTCAGTACCTCAATTCAAACAAAGCAAATCCACCAGAGGGAAATATCTGAATTTACCTGCATAAATTCATTTAACAAATAACCTCCTTGGATTTATTTCCATAATAATGAAAAGAGGGTTCAATACACATGTTAATCCTTCTGCCTAGAGTTCTCTATCCATCCTTTAAAATGTCCTCATCCTTTAAAATGTCCTCATCCTTTAAGGGCCAGCTCTGAATTTGCTTTCCAACTTAATGCATGCCTCGTATAGACTCAGAACATGTATGCTTACTTTTGGGATAACACTTATTTAGTTGAACTATAATCTGCCTCACTATTATTATTATACTGGGAACTTCTTGGAGACAAAGACCATGTCACATTCATATTTATAGCCCTGGAACACAATGCTTTATACTTAGTTTTAGTTCTTCATTACATTAATCCTTCCTTGTTTTACTTTTCTTATTTTCACTAAAGGCCCAAGTACAGAAAACAAGGTTCACACATGAATACAAGCAAAAATAAAATAAATACCATTTAAAAAATTGTTTCTAGGCCGGGCGCTGTGGCTCACGCCTGTAATCCTAGCTCTCTGGGAGGCCGAGGCGGGTGGATTGTTGGAGCTCAGAAGTTCAAGACCAGCCTGAGCAAGAGCCGAGACCCCGTCTCTACTAAAAATAAAAA